TTTTTTAATTTTCAAGACAGGGTTTCTCCATAGCTTTTTGGTTCCTGTCCTGGAACTAGCTCTGTAGACCAGGCTGGCCTCGAACTCACAGAGATCCGCCTGCCTCTGCCTCCCGAGTGCTGGGATTAAAAGCATGCGCCACCACCGCCCGGCTCTTTTTTTATTTTTCTAATGATTTACTTATTGTGCTTTGGTGTTTTGCTCAAATGTGTGTCTGTGTGAGGGTGTCAGGTTTTCTGGAACCGGGGTTTCAGACAGTTGTAAGCTGCCATATGGGTGCTGGGAATTGAACCGAGCTCCTCTGTAAGAGCAGTTAGTGACATTTCTCCAGCCTCCACCTTGCTTTCTTATACAGCCCAAGATCACCTGTGCAGGAGTACACTGCTGGGCCCTCCCACATCAATCATTAGTCAAGAAAATGCCCTCACAGACAAGGCCACAGGCCAGTCTCATGAAGGTAATTCCTCGATTGAGACTGTCTCTTCCCAGATATTTTTAGATTTATGTCAAATTGAGAAAAACTAACCAATGCACCTCTCTTAGCTACCAGGTACCAAACAAATATCATTGATCCTTAGATTACTATCGCATTTGGTCACATTAAGCACTGATATGCATACATTTCCTAAGTTTATAAAGATTTCAATGACAATCCGAGTCAGCAAGTGAAGCCACCTCAGCAAGGCTGACAAAGACCTGAGTTTGAGCTCTGGTGCCCACATGGCAGAGGAGAGAATCAGCTTCCTAAACCTGCCCTCCTCCACAATCACCACTGTGGCAGGCGTACCCCCACCATAAATATGAGATGGAGTGAGAATCAGCACAGCTTTTCTCTAGGCACACTTCCAAGAAGAAACCTTTCGATGAAATGTGACCTGTGCATAGAGTCCCTCTGAAGTGGCCTAGGAAGGAGAAAAAGAAGTAATTCATATACTACATAGTGACACATGACCATGTGACAGTACTCTTAGGAGGTGGCATCCTTTGGTGGTGTTGCACCCATATTAGTTTGTGTAAATACATTGTGACATCAACCCACAAAATCACCTCATGGAACTCGACTTAAAACCTCTTCTAAAGGCTGGCGGTGGTGTCACAGGCAGAGGGAGGTGGATCTCTGTGAGTTCGAGGCCAGCCTAGTCTACAAAGGGAGTTTCAGGACAACCAGGGGTACACACAGAAAAACCCTGTATAGAAAACAAACAGACAAGCAAACCAGCAAGCAAACAAACCCAAACCCTCTCCTAACAGGGCTGGAGATGGCTCAGCAGTTAGGAGCTCTTGCTCTTGCCGAGGACCCGGATTCAATGTCCAGCATCCACATGGCGGGTCACAACCAACTGTAACTACAATTCAGGGATATTTACCCTCTTCTGACCTTCTTGGGCACCAGGCACACATGTAATACATATATGTACATTAAGGCAAATATGAAATAAATCTTAAAGCAAACCTCTCCCACCACGAAGTGCTGTTTCTCAGTTTGTGAAGTGAAGGTGTGGCGGTTTGAATAAGAATGGCGCACATAGGCTCGTGTATTTGAATGCTCAGTCATTAGGGAGTGGCATTCTCTGAAAGTATCAGAGGGGTCGGTGTGTCCCTGTGGGTAGGGTTTAAGGTTTCAGAAACCTATGCCAAGGCCAGAGTGTCCTCAACTTACACACCAGGATGTAGTTCTCAGCCACTACATCACCTGCCCGCATGCCACCATACCAGTGAACTGAAGCTCCGAAGCCGAACGCCAGCCCCAATTCAATGCTTTCTTTTAAAACAGTTGCCTTGGTCATGGTGCTGTCTCCTCACAGCTATAGAACAGCGACTAAGATACACAGTGCATTTCAGGCGAGGGCTAGTAATGTAAGCTTTTCTCAACACAGATAACTAAAATATGTTTTTTAAAGCCTATTCAATGTAAATGAAAGATAAAATAGTACAATTACGTAGTAGCCATGTTTTCAGAAGAAAATTTTTAAAGAGGTAAAATTAAGTTTTAGGGGGTGTTTTGGAAACAAGGTCTCATGTAGCCCCAGGCTGACCTCAAAGTCACCAGAATAATCTTGAACTCCTCTTGCCTCCATCTCCTGTGTCCTGGGATTACTGGGATGCAACATCTTGTCCAGTTTAGGCTATTCTGGGAGAATCAAACCAGGATTTCATACATGATAAGCAAGCATTCTAGCAGCTTAGCTACATCCCCAGCGTGTGTGCGTGTGTGTGCGCGCACGCTCGTGGACACTGGGTATACATATGTGACCAAATGTTTGCAGAGACCTAAAGCTAGCCCTGCATATTGTTCATAGGCACCATCCATATATTTTTATTTTTTTATTTAATTTTGTGTGTGTGTGTGTGTGTGTGTGTGTGTGTGTGTGAGACTGCCTAGCAAGGCTTAGGGAGACATCAGTCTCTACCTCCCAGCACTGGAATCACAAGCACAAGCTACCACATCCAGCTATGGATTGTTCTTGCTTTTTACATGTATTATGTGTATAAGTACACCGTGTACATCGCTGCTGCACTCGTGTCAGAGGAAGACATCGGCTCCCCTGAAGCTGGAGTTACAGGTGACTGAGCTACCATGTGTTTGCTGGGTATCAACCCCAGGTTCTCTGCAAGATCAGCATGTGCCCTCTCTCCAGGCTGCAACCCCATGTTGGATAGGCTGGATTCGAACTCAGAACTCAAAGATTCGCCTGCCTCAGCCTCCTAAGTGCTGGATTAAAGGTGTGCCACCACCACCTGGCCCCAACCCCATTGTAACATGGTTTCTGGGGATTAAATTTAGGTCCGGGTGCCTGCAAGGCAAGTCTCTTATTAACTGACCTATGTTTGGGCTTTTTGCTATTTTCGCGAGCCAGGTTTCCTTCAGTGACCCAGACTATTCACAGACTTGGATTTTCTTGCATCAGTTGCCCAATTATCACTATTACAGGCATATACTGTCACACCTGGCTTAAGTTTAGTAACTTGTTGAATTAGACACGCCCAAAACATCGTTACTTAACAGATTTAGCTTAGTTATTTTACATTTAGCTACCATATTCAAAATCTACATCTATTTTATATAAAAATATGTTTTTATCAGATGAAAGAGTTTAGTGGGCAATACTTTATTTTGCCTCAGAGGACTCCTGGATAACACACCCCCACTGCCCAGGACTGCAGTGGACTAAGAGAGCTTGCATCCAGGCTTGGGCCCTGGGAATCCAGGACTGTTTCTATGTTTTCTCCTCGGGCATGCAGCTCCGCAGCTTTCTGTTCTACAGTGAAAATATGACTGTTCCAATTTTCTGTTTGTGAGAGCTTTGCTGTCCCGAGAGCTAAGGAAAGTTCATCCACACAGCCGACATTTGAGCTTCCAGAGGGCCTCAGTTTTACTGCGGAGTGACTGAAGTGCCACACAGAACAAACGTTTCTAAGTTAAAAAGCCTGCAGTGGTGAGTCCTGGGTGTGGGGGTGCACGCCTTCATTCCCAGAATGCAGAAGGGAGGCAGAGGCAGGTGGGTCTGAGCTCAGGCCAGTCTGGTCTGCAGGACCATGTTCTAGGACAGCCAGGACTACACAGAGAAACCCTGCCTCAGAAAAGAAACAAAAGGGAAAAAAAAAGGCCTGTATTGTGCTCCTCGGCACTGCTGACAGCCACCAGAGTGCCGCATTGATATTGGATACTCATTATCAGATCCCAGGACACAAATTCTTTCAGTCTTGAGGATGCAAAGGAGATTGCCACTCTACACACACACACACACACACACACACACACACACACACACACACACAGCGAACCCTGTGGCTTTCCTTACCTTGTTGTCTATCTGAGTCCCCACCCGGGATTCTTTTTCTCTTTTAAAAGATTTTATTTAGGCCAGCCTAGTCTACAAGAGGTAGTTCCAGGACAGTCTCTAAAACTTCAGCAAAACCCTGTCTCAAAAAGCCAAAAAAAAAAAAAAAAAAAAGATTTTATTTTTCGTTATGTGTGTACCAGTGTTTCTGGGTGTGTGCAGTCTGTGATATCTGCAGATTCCCCCTGAGCTGGAACCGCTGGTGATTGTGAGCCTCCTGATGTTGAGTGCTGGGATTTAAACTTGTGCTTTGGAAGAGCAGTCAGAACTCTTAGCCACTGAGCCATCTCTCAAGCCCCTCTGCAGATTTTTGTTTTGTTTTTCTTAGACAGAGTTTCTCTATGTAGCCCCAGCTGTCTTGAAACTTGCTTATAGACCAGGCTGGCCTTGAACTCACAGACATTCCTCTACTTTTACCTCCTGAGTGCTGGGATGAAAGGTGTGAGCTGCCACCACCATGCGGCTCCTTGCAGATTTTTAGGGAAAATCTCTAGTTATGTAGACCAGCTTTAATGGCTTCATGGCTGAGGCTCGATTTGAAACCTGAAGTTGTGTACACTTCTCAGTTGCTGGAATTACTGGGAGATGATGCCAACTGGCTCCCTACTTTCCTTACTCTATTTCCAAAGCGTGTGTGTATGCACGCGCGTGCGTGCGTGTGTGTGTGTGTGTATATATATGTGTGTGAAAATATATGTATATGTGTGTAAAAAAGAGAGAGAGTGTGTGTGTGTGTGTGTGTGTGTGTTGCATCCCATCGTGGAACATGTGGCGCTCAGAAGATAAGTGACAGAAGAGCGCTCAGAAGATAAGTGACAGAAGAGCTCTCTCCACCAGGTGGGTAAGTCAGGAATGGAACTGAAAGCCAGTGGTGGTGGCAGCGCACGCCTTTAATCCCAGCACTCGGGAGGCAGAGGCAGGCAGATCTCTGTGAGTTCGAGACCAGCCTGGTCTACAAGAGCTAGTTCCAGGACAGGCTCCAAAAGCCACAGAGAAACCCTGTCTCGAAAAACAAAACAAAAAAAAATCAAAAACAAAGAATGGAACTGAAGTCACTCTGCTTAGCAGCAAGTACCTTTATGGCTCCTTACTTTTACTGTCCCCCACCCCTACCCCAAGACAGGTAAAGGGACTGCACAGTCAGTTTACAAAGGGAACCTTCCAGACTCCATGCTAAGTTTGTTCCCAAAGCTTGTATTTGAGAATTGGCTTGGAATAAACCATTTTGGAATTGTCTTCCTCCATCATTGACCCAAGTGACTGACAAAACCTCCAATTTAAAAGTGCTTCAGTGGGCTGGAGAGATGGCTCAGTGCTTAAGAGCATTGCCTGCTCTTTCAAAGGTCTTGAGTTCAATTCCTGGAAACCACATGGTAGCTCATAACCATCTGTAATGAGGTCTGGTCCACTCTTCTGGCCTGCAGACATACATACAGACAGAATATTGTATACATAATAAGTAAATAAATATTAAAAAAATAAAAAAATAAAAGTGCTTCAGTGAAAGAAGGGAAAAGGTCAGTGCGGTCTGTCACAGCTTATTGTCTGCCATTCTGAGCTCCAAACATTTTCCAGAACATCGCCAGTATCTTGCTCCTCTCTGGTGTTTTGTCAATCCTTGTCACAGATCACTCCTTGCCCCCTGAATCAGGCCCGGGCCTCCCAGATGCTTCTTATTCTCTGGGCTTGCGCGTATCAACACTTTGAGGTAGCTTAGTTTCCCCACAAACGGTTGCTGAGCACATACTGCATGGCACACAGAACCCCAAAGCCTGCAGTCTGCAGTAAAACTAAAAATAATTGCCCAAGGACTATCAACCGTGAATTAGGTACAAGTGCTGGAGATTCATTATTTAATGTGCACATATGTGTTTGCTCGTGTGACTAATACGCTCCATGTATGTGGAGCGGCGGGCGTAGAAACAGCTTCAGGGAGGCGGGGACACCCACGCTGCGCTGTTCGGTCCTTCAGTGACCAGGTGAAGAAGGGGTGGTCACGGTGTCAGTCATACATGGCTTCAAGGTTTTGCGTTCCCCAGGGCCAGAATCCTTCGGCTTCCACCAGTCTCGTTCATTCGCTTCCAGCGACGCCGCTGACTTAGAACCAGTCACTCCACCTACAGGCGAAGCTCGTGGACGTCCACCCTTCGGTCACCAGCCCCGCACCACGCTCTTCAGGTGCCTCCGAGCGCCCCTCCGACCGCCGTCTCCGATCCGGTGGACCCTGCCTGCGCGCCGCGCCGAGGCAGCAGGGAAGAAGCTCTGCGCGCGGCCGGCAGAGAGGGGGCGGGACATGCAAATCAGACGCGGCGTGCGTGCGCGCGCGGGAATGCCGGGAGCGCCGCGATCGTGGAATTCGTAGCTGAAGCTGTGGATTTGAGAGAGCGAGTGAGGCGCCGAGGACGCGGACGCAGACGGGAAGCGGAAGGAAGCGCGGGGAAAACCGGGAGTCAGGGTCGCGGGCGGTCACCAGGACGTTAGTGTGTCCCGCGGGCGCAGGGCAAGGGTGCGTGGTGGGTGTGCGGTATCGCTTCTCGGCCTTTTGGCTAAGATCAAGTGTAGTATCTGTTCTTATCAGTTTAATATCTGATACGTCCTCCATCTGAGGACAATATATTAAGTGTATTTTTATAATTAGGAGTTGGAATAGGAGCTTGCTCCATCCACTCCACGCATCGACTTGGTATTGCAGTACCTCCAGGAACGGTGCACCCCTTGGGGAATAAAGTTGGTTCAATGATAGGAAATAGAGATTTGTTTGCTTTCCATACGAATGAGTCTTGTCCTATTGTGTTTTTTTTTAGTTGCTTGTTTTTCCCTTCTCTAATCCTTTTTTTTATGTTTATTTATTATGTATACAATATTCTGTCTGTGTATATGCCTGAAGGCCAGAAGAGGGCACCACACCTCATTACAAGTGGTTGTGGGCCACCATGTGGTTGCTGGGAATTGAACGCAGGACCTTTGGAAGAGCAGGCAATGCTCTTAACCTCTGAGCCATCTCTCCAGCCCCCTTCTCTAATTTTTTAAAGATTTGTTTGAGTAAACTTTCTCAAGGGAAGGCAGAAAAAGGATATAGGGTTTTCTGGGCCTTAAAGAGGCTGTAGAAACCCAGCTCCTGGTCTTTTGATTTGGACTGTTTTCCTTTCTCTTTGGCAAGGTCTTTTGCCGAAAAGAGTTCGCTATGCGGGATTAGCTGGCTAGTGAGCCCCCCAGGATCTGCTTGCCAAATCCCTCAGTTGTCTTAAAAATCTCACAAGCGCAAATAAGGACTTTTATGGTGTTCTAATTTACGGAAAAATGAGAATCCACACAGAGCTCTGCAGTATGCACAGAAAAGCAAACGTGGACAGAAAGAAGCAGCCATGACCAAGGAGTGAGGACTTCCTACCATCCAGGGATGCAACTAGGGTACTGACAGCTACAGTACTAGGATACCGACAGCTGCAGTACTAGGAGGATAGGACAGTGTGACTGCCATGGAAGCGTGCAGGCGCGAGCTACCTTGCCTCAAGAGCTTACGTCTCCATACAAACCACCGTTGTTACCATACAACAGAATAGTCTTTGGACTATGGTTGCTGGTCAACAAAAAGTGCAGAAGAAATACTGAAAGAAGCGTTTAAAACTCAAGTTGAAGCTTTACAGCCATGCCAGATCCCAAGAGGCAGCTGGCTTGATGTTCTGCACGTAACTATACGACAGTATTCTTAAATGCAGTTTTATGGTATAGGATAGAGTAGTATGGCAGCTGTGGAAATCCAGCCCTCAGATCTCCAGCTACTGAGAACATAACTGCTGACCGTCAGATCTGCTGCTAAAAGATCAGGATGGCTCACTATTCCCCGCTGCTTCTTGCTATGCTGGACCATATCAAGGCTGTTTTTCAGGTGTCTCTCACCTTTGAGAACTAGAGCTAACTTTAGGGCAATTTTAGGGCTTCCCATTAGCTTGATCTACCCTTCTTGAGATTCTGCCTAATGCACCCACCTTCCTTGCCTCTCCATCGCAGCTGTCAAAACTTCCTAAACGCCCAGAGGTGGTCAGAAAACCTTTTCATGGGAAATCTGCAAGGGCAGCTGGTATTTATAAGACATAAAACCAACCCGAGGGTAGAATACACACAGATTACTGAATAGTGGCCAACTGATAAGCTGATAAATTGGCTTGGAAATGAGGTAAGGCGGAACAAAGAGGAGTGGGCACAGAGTGTTTAGTCCTATATTCCATATTAATTCTTACCCGCCCACCCAAGACACCACCATGGAACATGCTGCAGGACAGTCACGTGACTCAGTTGGGTACATCCTAGACCTGGAACAATGGGCATTGAAGGTGAGCCTGGCAGCATGATTCCCACTTATTCAAGGCCAGGGGAGGTGTGGCTGTATAGGGTGGAACTCCCTGCAGTGGAAGATGGCGTTGAACTGAGCCTCCCGCTTTCACCTCCTGAACACTGGGATTACAGGAATGCACCTCTAGATCTAGTTTATGAGATGCTGCGGATCGAACCAGAACTTCATGTAGGCTGTGCAGTTAAGCTTCACCCCAGACAGTTTTACAGGTTACTGTCTGTCAGCTTTGTGGAAATTGAACTGGGCCCTTACATGACTTTTTCTTTTGCCAGCTGGCCATAGGTGTTGTCAACAGGGAATGGCAGACACTGTAGGACACTGGTTCTCAACCTGTGGGTTGCCGCTGTCAGAAACCATTATTTCTGAAGGAGAGCACATCTAGGGCTCTTCTGGAAGAAGACTGACTTCAGTTCCCAGCACCAACGTCAGGTGGCTTACAACTGTCTGAAATTCCTGCACTGCTCGTAGGAGATCTGAGGCCTCTTTGGGCACTGTGCTCAAGTGCACATATCCCACCCCACACCACTTAGACATATAGTTCAAAATAAAATAAAATCGGATAACTGGTTTGTACATGAAGATACATTTATTTTGGGAGTAGTTTTTGCATAGGTGAAATTGATAACGTTAACATTAGTTTTTTTCCCCACAGAAATTATAAGGTCTTGTGACATACAAAACCTTCTCAAGATGCTAAGGCACACAGGGACAAGACGGTAGTGCTTCCTTGACTTAGAGCTTGGCCACCTTCTTCTTAAAAGATTCCTTCATTCTCTTGACCACAGAAAGGTCCCCAACTCCCTCAGGCCAGTTTTCATGATCTGGTCAGTAAGTGGAAAGCGTGTGTCACTAGCAAATCTCTGCAGCCTTTGTCCTAGCTTCTACCCAAGCCTCATGGTTTTGTTTGCTTGCCTGTTTGCTTTTTTTTTTTTTTTTTTAACTCATCGAGTCTAGGAAAAAAAAATCTATAGGACAAACAGTTCTGCAGGAATCCTTAGATTTGAATGCCAGGCCTGATGCTCTCTAGCTTTCTCAGTTCGTGTAAAGGGAGTAACTGCCGGCCTTGGGTTATTGGTTAAAAGTGGGCATCTTTGTGTGCTGATACAGCACAAAGCAGATTCAGAGCCATGGAAGGCATGCTAAGATGAAGCCTTCCCTTCTGGCTCTCCGATCAGTGGGGTATGGACAGAGGGAAGCATGTGACCTTAGAATGGCAGGCTGCCATCCTGCAACCAAGAAAGCCAGCCTTGAGAGACAGATTACCAAACACAGAGGACGGGGGAGGAAAAGGCGGGCTTTGACAAGTCTCACCTGCTTAGTGAGCCAACAACTTCCTTTACTGAACAGTAAATGGTAACAAGCAGTCTAGACCACACCGGACTTGACACCACGTGTCATGTAACTTAATCCCCAACATCCCCAGGAAATACATTCTTGTTTGTTGTTTTGAGGCAAGGTCTCTCTACATAGATCTTGCCGTCCTGGAATTCACTATGTAGACCAGGCTTCAAACTCACAGAGATCTGTCTGCCTCTGCCTCTCCAGTGTTGGGATTAAGGGAATGTGTCACCATGCCTGGCTTCTCTTTCCCTTTCTGAAGAAAAACAGCACCACCCCCAGTAAGCAGCACTGATTCAACTCCACTGTGATCACTATTAAATACCACCTAGGCATTTTTGTCTCTGCAGCTAAGGTCCTAATAATCACGGTATTAAGATTGTGGTGGCCACACCTTTAATCCAAGTACTTGGAAAGTAGAGGCAGGTGGATCTCTCTTCACTCGAGGCCAGCCTGGTATACATAGTGAGTTTCAGCCAGGGCAACATAGTGAGACCCTAGCCTCAAACTGGTAAGTTGCTAAGAGTAACTAAGAATGACCTTGAATTTTTGATCCTCCTGCCTCTACCACCTTGAGTACTGGCATGTACCACCATCTCTGCTTTTATGGGGTTCTGGGAATTCAATCCAGGGTTTGTGTATGCTGCTAAAGTCTGCCAACTGAGCAACATCCCTGGACTTTAGCATGTTTCAATTTCTTAATTTATGTGTTATATGTATGTGTGAATGCCTGCATGTATGGTCTGTGTGTGCCTGGTGCCTGTAGAGGCCAGAGTCACCCACCCAGCTCACCCAGAAGTGAAGTTAGAGGTGGCTGTGAGCCTCCATGGAGGCTCCTCTGGAAAAGCAGCCGGTGCTGCAGTCACTGAGTCCCTCTCCAGCCTCCTGTGCTCTGTACTCCCTGTGAACTTGTTTTGTCACTTGTAAAACCAGGACGTGGAACTATCTGATATTTTTAAAAAGATATTTATTTATTTATTTATTTATTATATAAAATGTTTTGCCTGCACACCAGAAGAGGGCACCAGATCTCATTATAGATTGTTGTGAGCCACCATGTGGTTGCTGGGAATTGAATTCAAGACCCCTGGAAGAACAGCCAGTGCTGTTAACCTCTGAGCCATCTCTCCAGCCCCCTGGACTATCTGATTTGTTTGTTTGGTTTGGGTTTTTTTGATCTAGGGCCTCTCCATATAGCCCTGGCTGGCCTGGGAATGCACAGAGATCTGCTAACCTCTGCCTCCTGACTTCTGGAGTTAAAGGTGAGTGCCGCCACACTTGGCCTAGACTATCTGATTTTTATAAGACCCTTCCAAGCCCAAAAGAGATGCAAACACACTCATCCAACTGTGTGTTATCGTTATGGAGTTGAATTTATAAAAGTATGTTTTCAAGCCAAGCCTTGTTGCACAGACCTGAATTACCAACACTTGGGATGCTGAGGGCAGCCTGGGCTACACAGAGAGATTCTATCTCAATAAAATAAAATAAATATTGATTTTATGAATAAAAAGTGATTGGGGGCTGGAAAGATGGCTCAGCAGTTAAGAATATTGAGTGTCCTTCCAGAGGACCCAGGTTCAATGTAAACGAAGACCATTTGGTCATTTCTCAGGGAATCCCACATCAGTTCAGTTCCCAGCACCCACATGGCAGCTCATAACTGTCTGTAAGTCCCAGGGGGTCTAACACCACACCAATGCACATAAAAAGTGATTGAATACAGAACCTGATCATTTCACCATATATATTTCAAAGAGAGGCCAAAGCAGACTTGGACTGTATAGACTCTTCCGTCTCTGCAAACTACTTACTGGGGAAGAAAAGGAATTAAACCTTTAGACAGCACAGGCAGCTTCTGCCTCCTTCCTATCATTCTCTGTACTTAGAGATTTGCCTCAGCTGAGAAAATTTTCTTTAAAATCCTATCATAAGTATAAATATTTTGTACTTTTTGATGCCCTATAGGAGAAAGCCTCCACCTCTAAAGTAGTGAGTTAAGACAGGGAACTTGGCCAGGCGGTCTTGGGAGGGAGGCAGAGGCAGGTGGGATCTCAGTGATTTCGAGGTCAGTCTGGTCTATGAAAATAGTTCCAGGACAGTCAGAGCTGGTATACAGAGAAACCCTGTCTTGAAAAACAAGCAAACAAACAAAAGACACGAAGCCCAGGCAGGCAAAGAGCTAATGACTGTCTTCTGGCTGCTTACCTGGTATATCGAAGGAATGAGTATACAAAGACTGGCCCCCGTCCACATTGACCAGTTGTCCAGTGATGAAGGAAGCTGCAGGGGACAGCAGGAAGCACACTACAGAGGAGACCTGGGACAGAAGAGGATATGTGCATGCATAAGAGGAAAGGCTGGAAATATTAGGAAAAGGACCAAAGGCTGGTCTCCATTTCCGGGAGCCTGGCATTCCCGACTGACCACATGTCAAACCGCAGGACCGCGCCCTGAAGCCTCACATGTGCGCCATGATGTGAGAGCACAGAAGCGTGCCCCTGTGCAGTCGGAAAACAAGCCAGGTAAAGGCGGCAAGATATGAAGAAGCCTTAGACAGTGGCAGCGTGGCATGGAGAAGGGGAACGCTGGTTCTCGGCAGTGTCTTGACACGGTCCTATCTGTCATGGGCGCCCGTGTTCCTTACAGCATGGTCCCAGTACAGTAAGTTTGTGCAGCAGGGCTGCCATTCTGATTTGTTCAGTCTGAGGTCCTGTCATCCTGTCAGGCCCAAGGCACAGCTGTGCAGATCACAGCTTTCCACAGTGGGACTTCCAAGGTTCCCATCGCATCCCCCCAAACACAGTCACTTGCTGAGGTTTTAGTGAAGTTCCCCCAACCAAACAGAATTCATTTTACTGATGGTTAAAGGAAGCCGAGTCTCACAAAGGATGAAGGCCTGAGCACATCTCTCTCCTGGCTTTCAGACCAAACAAAACAAAAACAACAAAAACAAAAAATGGTGTGTGGGTGGAGCAGACAGCCTAAAATTTGATAAAGATAAAAAAAAAAAAAAGAAAAAGAAATGGACTGGGTGGTGGTGCACACCTTTAATCCCAGCACTCAGGAGGCAGAGGCAGGTGGATCTCTGAGTCTGAGGCCAGCCTGGTTTACAGGGTGAGTTCCAGGACAGTCAGGACTCTACAAAGAAACCCTGTCTTAAAAAACAAACGAACAAAAAGACAAAAGGATAAATGTGTCTGGGTTTGGTGGCATATGCTTTCATCCTAGCACTTGGGAGGCAGTGGCAGGCGGATTTCTGTGAGTTTGGGGCCAACCTGGTCTACCACAGTGATATCCAGGCCAAAGCTACACAGGAAGACCAGATCTCATAAAAAAATTTAAAACGTGTAAAAGCTTTTAAAGAATGCAAACAATATTAAAAGTTGAGCTGCCAGCAGTCGAAATATTCTGGTCCAGATACTCATGGGCATGGAGGAAGAGTGAGGGAACATCTTTCTAGTGTTCTAGGTGATGAAATGAAACAGACAAATTAGGAAGCACACACACGACACACACACACACACAGAAGTACAGTGGCCATCTTAAGAAAAAGACTATGTGATTAAACTACTGGAACAAGCCAGCCTGGTCTGCAGAGTGAGTTTCAGGACTGGCCTCATAGCTAACTGGCCTATGAGTGTGTGCAGTGCAAGTGAGCACACATACACATATACACAGTGCACACAGACACATGTCTACACACAGCAATAATGCATAAAATAAAGTTCAAAAACTTGGGGCAGTTTTTGCATGAATGTTTAGATACACTGATCTCAGCATGTTAAGTTCCAAACTTGTATTAAATTTATATGTTGTAAGGAAATCTGATTTAAAAAATTTTTAATTGTGCTTGGAGAGATGACTCAGTAGTTAAGAACATGTTTTTATTCTTGCCAAGAACCTGAGTTGATTCCCAGCACCCTTGTCAGGTGGCTCACAATGCCCTGTAAACTCCAGCTCTGGAGGATCCAGCGCCCTCTTCTGGCCTCCAGGGGCACTGCACTTGTGTGTGCTGCTGTTTGTGGGGCAGTCAAGGGACAACCTTCACCTGCTGACCCATCTTACTGTACCTACAACTTGGTCATTTGACTTTAATTTTGTTTTGTTATTTTTTTGTTTTGTTTTTTGAAGATGGGGTTTCACTAGGTAGCCCAGGCTGGCCTGAAATTTGCTATGTGGACCAGGCTGGCTTCATTTTTACAGAGATCTCTCAGTCTGCATCTGCCTCCTGCATACTTAAAGGATTAAAGGCATGGGCCCAGCAAAAATAATTAAAAAAAAAAACCTTTTTAATAAAACTGATTCTCCCACCAATAAATATGACATATATTTATTTAAAATATGTATTGTTAGTGTGTGTGTGTGTGTGTGTGTGTGTGTGTGTGTAGGAGTATGTGCGTGAGTAAAGGTGCCTGCCTGCAGAGGCCAGAGGTCCTGGATCCTCATACAGGCAACTGACAGCCATCTGATGTAGCTGCTGGGAATTGAACTCAGGTCCTCTGGAAGATCAGTTCCTGTTCTTAACTACTGAGCCATCTCTTTAGCCCCACATCCTTTATTTATCCTGTTTTTTTTTTTTTCCATTCTTCAGTAAGAACCTTCTCCCCCTCTCCCACCACCATTAGAGCTAAGCTTACTTCTGGGTCATTGGAAAAAGCTATTGGTTTTTACATACTTAAACTTCGTGAATCTGTGATTATCTGGCTTGCTTAAAGTACCAACACTGCAGGCAATAAAGTAACGTGGCTGCAGAGTGGCAAAAAATAGGAAAACCTGTTGTCTTTGCTTTCGCCATCGCTGTGCCCGAGGAGATTCTGCCGTCAGCAGTCAGAACAACGAAGCAGGTTATTTCCCAGAGCCCAAAGCACAGGAGAAACGGTTCCAAATGTCACACATTTCTCAAGTCATTCTCATCAGCGCCAAACATATACATCACCTCCTCGGGGATTCCGATGCGTTTAGCTGGGATGTTGTTAAAGGCCATTTCAAACATGCTTTGTCCCAATTCACCGTAGTTGTCAACAGCAGTCTGGGAATAAATGACTCCCTGTATTAGAAAAAAAAATCAGAAAGGAGATGAAACGGAGAAAATGAAGTTGTCAGTCACCAAGGGCTGGGGAAGGACTCAGAGGTAGAGCACTTGCCTGGCATGCCTGAGGCTTTGGGCTCCTCCCTAAGGCTCAAACAACAGCAACAAGCAGGTGTCGGGAATACACTGACCAACAACCAAATGTCAACAGAAAAGATAAGCTTTTTTTTTTAGATTTATTTATTATGTATACAGTGTTCTGCCTGCATGTGTGCCTGCATACCATTAGAGGGGGTACCAGATCTCATTACAGATGTTTGGGAACCACCCTGTGGTTGCTGAGAACTGAACTCAGGACCTCTGGAAGAGCAGCCAGTGCTCTTAACCTCTGAGCTATCTCTCCAGCCCCAAGAGAAATGTTTCTAAGTCAACTTTTCTTAAAACTGTCAAAGGAGGTCCAGCCAACCGCTATATACAAGCAGAGCATTTGACTGGCCACTTGGGAGGCCTTCTCCCCATAATAACCAGCTAAGACTTGGACTTTTTTGTGAAAGACTTGGTTTCTGAAGAACATGTTTATGCAAGTAGTTCAGTGGGGCACCTGGGCCGGAACAAAGGACCTAGGGCTTCTAGTTCATCTTCCTGTGAGCATGCCTGCTTTACCAGGGAAGAGGTGCAAGTACAGGATTTTCTCAGTTTCTAAATTTAAAGTAAAATTAAAAAAAACACACCAGAATCCAAGATTTATGTATGTATCTTAGAAAGCTAATTTAAATTTTTTTGATTTTTTTGAGACAGGGTTTCTCTGTAGCTTTGGTGCCTGTCCCAGAACTAGCTCTTGCAGACCAGGATGGCCTCGAACTCCCAGAGATCTGCCTGCCTCTGCCTCCCGAGTGCTGGGATTAAAGGCGTGCGCCACCACCGCCCAGCTGAGTGTGTGTATGAATTACAAGAATGTGCATGTGCATATGGAGGTCAAAGGTCGACATCAAATTTCCTCTTTAATCTTGAACCCAGAGCTCACTGAGGCATTGCTGTTCATCACTGAAGGAAGTCAGCACAGGAACTAAACAGGGCAGGGTCCCAGAGGCAGGATGCAGAGGCCATGGAGGGGTGCTGCTTACCAGCTTACTTCCCCTGGCTTGCTCAGCCCACCTTCTTGTAGAACCCAGGACCAGCAGCCCACGATGGCACCACCCACCATGGGCTGGGCCCCCTCCATTGATCATTAAATGAGAAAATGCCTTACAGCTGGATCTCAGCTGAGACTCCTTCCTCTGATGGCTCTAGCTTGTGTCAAGGTGGCACACAACACCAGCCAGGACACCTATGTCCAAAGTCATCTTTTATAGTATATTTACACAGTTGCTAGTATGTACTACCTATCTTGTCACTGATAACACAGCTATTCACAACACACAAGGAACCAGAGAAGCCCAGCGAAGGCCTGTAACAGGTACCTACAGGAGCAACACAGTTGATCCTTATTCCACTTTTGGCCCATGCCAGAGCCATGGATTTGGTGAGGTTGTAAACGCCTTCCCTTGCAGCTCCGGAGTGCCTTTAAAAACAAGTATTATCATCAGTTTCTGCTGAACATTTTTCTCATAAACTAACTTGATAAGCATATTTAATGATGTGGGATTCCCCTCTGTATGCAGTGAATACCACTGGTTAATAAAGAAGCTCTTTTGGGCCTGTGCAGGGCAGTATAGAGCCAGGCAGGGAAAACTAAACTGAATGCTGGAAGAAAGAAGGTGGAGTCAGGGAGAAGCCATGTAGAAGCTGCTGGGGACAGACATGCGGGAGCCTTGCTGCCAAGCCACAGCCATGTGACATACACAAATGAATGGAAATGGGTTAACCAAAAAATATAAGAGCTAGCTAGCAATATGCGTAAGTGGTTGGCCAAGCAGTGATTTAAATAATATAGTTTCTGTGTAATTATTTCAGGAGTCTGGGCAGCTGGGAACGAACAAGCGACCTCCCCCAACAATTTAATATATCTGAAAGATACTTTATTTCTCTCTCTTTTTTGTCTCTCCCCCACTTACATATATCTCATTGGGTAAAGAATTTGGGTTGTGGGCTGAAGAGATGGCTCAGCAGCCAAGAGCTAATAACTTTGCTTGTCAGCTTGTTTGGATTATTGTGCATTTAGGGATTAGTAAGGCATAATCTTGAGTGTGTCTGAAGATGTTTTCTGAGATAATTCAGAGGGGTTCACTATGGGGAGACGAGAGGGAAGAACCACCCTGAATGTGGGCAGGACCATCCCAAGAGGCAAGAATACCAATGGATAAAAGTAGAGTAGCAGCATCCTCCTTTCTCTGCTTCCTGGCTCACTACAATGAATGGAACGCTCTGAAACCATGAGTCAAAGCAAACCCTTACTCCAAAATGCTATCTCTGCCAGGTATGTTAGAGAAACAGAGTGACCCATACTCTATACAACTGAAGGAGTCCTAAATAATACAGGAAGTAAGTGCGTTATTAAAATTTCCATAGAGGAAGTCAACTTGTTATTTGGACAGAGGCTAGTTAGAAATACAACCCCTCAGAATTTGGAGGACGATGACTCTGAGTTTCTGTTATGAGTTACAATTTAGTAGTTCTAAAATCAAACAGGCAGGGCTGGAGAGATGGCTCAGAGGTTAAGAGCACTGACTGTTCTTCCAGAGGTCCTGAGTTCAATTCCCAGCAACCACATGGTGGCTTACAACCATCTGTAATGAGATCTGGTGCCCTCTTCTGGTCTGTAGGCACACATGCAGACAGAACACTGTATACATAATAAATAAATAAATCTTTTAAAAAAATCAAACAGGCATATTCATGGTGTTCACATCTAAATTAATCCAGATCAATTTAATTTTCACAATTTAACAAAGAAGCTATTTCCCACAGTGACAGCTAGTCTTGTAACATTTAGTTACCAGGAAAGACACAGGACCTCCAGGTAATATGAATTTCAGGTACATAAGGAACATGTATACCTCCACAAAACCTCAGGCTCACCCCCAGCAGCACACTGCCTCAACAAGGCCACACCCCCAGTTCTTCCCAAATGGTTCCACCAACTGGAGAACCAAGCAGGCAAACATAAACCTATGGGAGCCATTCTTATTCAAACCAGCACATAGAGCCACCTTACTCTGTATGTGCATTCTTAGTAACCAGGGGAAAGACAGGTAGGTAGAGTGCTCGCCGCTTGAGGGCACGTGTTTGAGGGCACGAGTTTGGACCCTCACACTCACATAAAAGTCAGGAAGGAGGAGGGGGACACAGAGACAGGAGGGTCCCAGAGACTCACTGGCCAGCCATTCTAGCTGAATCAGAAAGCTGTAGGTTCAATGAGAGACAGTGTCAAAAAATAAGGTGGAGAGGGACTGGGGAAGATGCCTGATGCTGACCTCCAAGAACACACTTCTTTTTTAAGGTTCAAATAAAAGGAAATGGGAGATGAATATGATCAAAATATACTTTAGGACCATTTCTGTGAATTAATAGTAACATTACTTTAAAAGTTTGGGTTGCAACTTATTAGAGGGGTAAAACCATTGATTTAACACATTTCCTATTACTGCCCTTCATTCAGAGAACAAAATCTAAAGACATAGAGATAGAGAAAAAATATATATATAAAATACTTACGAGGCTGCTGGGAACCCATTGCTAGTAAGGATGATGATATTGACAATTGATCCTCCATGGTCTTTCATCCAGGAATTGTAAACTGCACAACACAGACAAACGACAATCCTATTAAACAGTGTCCTGTTTATTATTTCTTTATTTATTGTACCCTGCTCTAGCATACATTTGACGTCTTCTTTTTTTCTCTCTATGTAGCCCTTGCTGTCCTGGAACTCACTCTGTAGACGAGGCTGGCCTCGAATGCACAGAGATCCGCCTGCCTCTGCCTCCCCAGTGTTGGGATTAAAGGTGTGCGCCACCACTGCCAGACACAATGTCTTCTATTCTAATTTAGTTTTTGTTGTTGAGACAAGGTCTTGTGTAGCCCAGGATGACCTCCAGTTGCTATATAGTAAGAAACTAATTTAATAAACTATTAGGTAAAACTGAAAAATGTTAAGGAAAGATACAAAATGAACTTGAGAAAATTCTCCAATAAACTAACCATCTAGATGAAAATTATTGGAGCATCGATTTATTTAAAATGGCAATAGCCATAAATTTTACTTAGCATAACCTGAATTTAAAAAGATTTTTGTTTTTTTAGGTGGGCAGTTTAAAATGGGATATATGATCATGAGCAGACCAGAAAAGTCTGGGACTGAAAATGGTAACTGTCAAGTCAGTTATTAAAAGCTACACAGAGCTTCTGGAGTTTACCATGAAAACGACGGTAAGCCTGTCTAAGCTGTTCTACAGAGACGACCTCTGGGTAGATACCATGGCACAGCTTTGATGGCAGCCTGACACCCCAAACTCGGATACTTTCCCAAGCTCAGACGTGGGCTTTTCTTCAAAGTATTTGAAATAACAAAGACACCACAGAGAACAAATGGAGAAAGAGGAAAATGTACAAGAACGCCAGGAACAACACAGAATGGTCACAAGCATCACTCAGTGTGAGGAGACGCTGTACTGTGAAGTCACGTGATCTGGACAAACAAAGTGTCGGATTTTCAGAGCCTGATTAAAGAACAGACGTGAAGTGGGTTCAGCTCCTTTTTTTTCCTTCCAGTATTCTCTTGTGGTGAAATAAAAAGAACATTAAGTTAGCCACCCTAGCCACTTTTTGTTAGTACAGTCACGTCATGGTGCCACTGTCACCGGCATCCAGAGTGCCGTTCCTCTAGCAAAACACAGACTCTGCCATTAAACAGACATTTCCCATTTCCTTGGTTCCATTCCTGGCAGCTACCACTTTATTTTCTGGATAAAGAATTCCTTTACAAAGCCAAGCAACTGGAGCACGAGTTTCACCCCAGCACTCAGGAGGCAGAAGCAGATCTCCGTGAGCTCAAGGCCAGCCTGGTCTACAGCACAAGTTCCAGGACAGCCAAGGCTATACAGAGAAATGCTGTCATTAAAAAAATACTTCATTGGGGTTGGAGAGATGGCTCAGAGGTTAAGAGCACTGACTGCTCTTCCAGAGGTCCTGAGTTCAATTCCCAGCAACCACATGATGGCTCACAACCATCTGTAGTGAGATCTGGCGCCCTCTTCTTGTGTGTGGGCATACATGGAAGCAGAATATTGTACACATAATAAATAAATAATTAAAAAAAACTTCATTACAAGATCGGAGTGACTTTGTACTTAGTGTGGTCTGAAGAAGCAAATTTCTAGAATTCAGAGTCAATGTGAGTGTTGTTTATGAACATATGTATGAGGAAGAGTGCATGCCTCTGCAGAGGCCAGGGAAGGGCGACAGGTGTCCTCTTCTAGCTCTCTGCCGCATTCTTTCAAGGCAGGGTCTCTCCCTTTTCTACTTTACTTCCCTGTTGCTAAATCAATGCATAATTAAGAAATGCCCATAGGCCAATCTAATAGAGTCAGGTTGACAGAAACTAGCCATTACACTCTCTGAGCCTGGCTGGAGCGTGCTCTTCTTGGCTAGGCTGGCAGAAAAACCCAGCAATGTTCCTGTCTCCTTTCACTACAATGCTAGGATTATTGCAAGAGCAACCATGCCAGGAATATTATAGGGGTGCTGGGATCTGAACTCAGGTCCTCATGGTTGTTAGCAATCTCAACCACTGATGTCAAACCACTGTCTCTAACTCATAAATACATATTTAGAAGACAACAGTCTATTATTTGCCTGGAGATAACCTTTGCTTACTTGGTCTAAGTTTTATATATATTATATATTTATAATCCTATCTACACTAAGGAAGCAGTCTATTAAATGATGTAAAAAACAGTTCTGTAAACTTACAATTTTGGGGAAAAATAAAATGCTTTTTTTCTTCTTCCATGTAAGTTGTTTTATTTTATTATTATTATTTATTTATTAAAGATTTCTGTCTCTTCCCCGCCACCACCTCCCATATCCCTCCTTCTCCCCCAACCAACTCCCCCTCTTTCATCAGCCCGTAAAATGCTTTTAAAAGTTTGAAATTTAGTATTTCACAGGAAACATAAAAATTTAGTTTGATGGTTAAAAAACCCACTGAATTATTTTTAGTTGTTTACTTTCAAGATAAGAACAAGACAAGATAAAAACTCTCTCTTTTCACTGTGGAAAAAGAAGAGGCAAACATGGCATGGGGGAAAAACAAGAAATAACTTGGTAATTTTGGCTTTGAACTGAGACAGTAACATAAATGCCTATTTTTTTTTAAATTGGCTTCCTAGCTATTTTAGGACCTAACCTTCCTGAATCTTTTTTTAAAATATTTATTTATTATGTATACAGTATTGTCTGTGTGTATGGCCAGAAGAGGGCACCAGACCCCATTACAGATGGTTGTGAGCCACCATGTGGTTGCTGGGAATTGAACTCAGGACCTTTGGAAGAGCAGGCAATGCTCTTAACCTCTGAGCCATCTCTCCAGCCCCCAAATGCCTATTTTTTAAAAAGTCATTGTATCATCAAACATACCAAATATATACCGAAAAAGGAATGCCATAATGAACCCTAGGTCTTAGCTGCCATGATCCATCATGATCAAGCCAGAGCCAGTTTTGTCTGCATCCCTAATCATTTGGCCATCTCTTGGATAATTCTAGAAGCCATTACAAGGCATATTATCATTTCATCTATAAGTAAATATTTCTGTATCTCTAAACACGGGAAAAGTATAACCACCATGCCATTAATAGGCTTAATTAATAACCCCTTTAGGTTATTAATAAATGTTAATAAATTAATAAATGTGACTAAATGATAGTCACATTTCCCTTAGTGTGTAATAATTTTACAGTATTTTTGTAGGAGTTAGCGGCAAGTAAGTCCCACATTGCATCTGTTCCAACTTCCTTCTCGTCGATTTAGAGTTGTCCATTAGCTCTTCCCAACCAGGCACAGTTTACGTGTTAGAGGAGATGGACCATCTGGCCTTTATTCACAGGCTGGACTGTGCCAGCTTGCATTCTATGGTGCCTTTCAACCTGTGTTCCCTCTTCTGTGTCACCTACAAAATGGCAGACTTGGGCTTTGATGCACACACCTGTGTGTGTGTATCTCTGTGTGTGCACGTGCATGCACACACGTGCACGCACCAAAGAGAATGCCTCATAGGTGAGAGACACTGTTTAGTCCCTGAGGGGCATATCTAATTGTCTTCTTTCTTTTGTGATATGACAATATGCTATTAATAGCTGTTGTCTTAGACCCAGTTATTCATTAGGGAGTTGAAAATGAAGATTTCCTTTCTTTATTAGCATGATCCATTTCTCTGCTGTACAGTGTGTATATGAAAAGCAGAAAACAGGCACAGGCTGGTCGATGGCCCAGGGGGAAAAAACACTGAGTTTGATCCCAGGAAGCCACAGTGAAAGGAGAGAACCCATTCCCAAAAGTTGTTCTTTGACCTTCACATGCATATGATTGCATGAGTGTGTTTGTAACACACATCACATACACACACAATACATACACAGAGTAAGAGAGAAATTGCAATTAAAATTTAAAAAGAAAGAAAAAATTCTTTCCCTTTTTCAGCCCTGGAAAGAAATGACTTGATATCCTAACAACCTTCAAAAAGTGGCTATTGCGGGGCCAGAGAGACAGCTCAGCAGTAAAGAGCACCACCGGCTGCTCTTCCAGGGGCATGGTGGCTCACAGCCCTCTATAATGGGATCTGATGTCCTCTCCTCCCATGTCGACAGAGCACTCACACACACAATAAATTTTTTAAAAAGTAGTTATGAGTTCCTCAGAATAAGTCTGAATTCATGGATTTAAAAATACTGCTTTAGCCAGGCGATGGTGGCGCTCGCCTTTAATCCCAGCACTCGGGAGGCAGAGGCAGGTGGATCTCTGTGAGTTCAAGACCAGCCTGGTCTACAGAGCTAGTTCCAGGACAGGCTCCAAAGCCACAGAGAAACCCTGTCTCGAAAAACCAAAAAAAAAAAAAATACTGCTTTATCTCAATGCAAAGCACAATTTTCCCAGTAAGGCTCAAAATATATCATTTTTCGCCAACAAAAGCCTATTTAGGATTATTGTTGGAACCAGCGTGTTGACACAAGTCTGGATCTCTGCACCTGTGAAGCTAAGGTGAGGTGGGGTAGGGGCTAAGGGGGGTGGGAGGGGTGTCAGGAGGTCAAGGCCAACCTTGGCTACAAGGCAGGTTCCAGGTCTCCAGGTCAGCCTGAACTACATGGAAAGTATCTATGGAATCCTTTTGCATACTCCAGAGTTCTCTATTTTTTTTTTTTTTTTTGATTTTTTGAGACAGGGTTTCTTTGGAGTCTGTCCTGGAACTAGCTCTTATATACCAGGCTGGCCTCGATCTCACAGAGATCTGCCTGCCTCTGCTTCCCGAGTGCTGGAATTAAAGGCATGCACCACCGCCGCCTGGCTGAGTTCTCTAATTTTTGAAGTGATAAACTAATCTAGGCTTCTTTTGCACATTTCCTTCCCCACATTGAGAATAACAAATCTCTTTGCAAAGCCTCAATTCCATTCAGAGACCACAGGACCCTTGAAGGAGCCCTCAGTGGGTTAGTGTTTTATTTTTGTAGTGGACAGTCAGAAATATATATTTCAATAAAAACTCTCTCATGACCCCACACTCACACTTCCAGTTTAGTTCAGTCATAAAGGAGATCCACTTGGGGTCATCTTTCCATACCCATTCATTCTTTCTCTTGTGCCAAAAGTCCCAGTTCTCAGTTTTATTATCATAATTTATTTCTTTTCTTTAGCACACACACCAGGCCAGGACAGCCTCAGAAGGGACACCAACAGCAGCCTCAGATGGCTTTGAGCCTTTTCTCCTCTCTTTTTTCTGTCTTGTAAAGTACACCCCACTAGGACTATTCAGTAAATGCACTGTGTTACAGCCATTCGAGGGGCTTTGTTAGGCCACCAAGTGAGCAAATATATCCGTTTAATTTTACGTGGGATTTGTTGTTGTTTTGTTAGAGACAGGGTTTTTCTGTGTAGCACTGGCTATTCCAGAACTCACTCTGTAGATCAGACTGGCCTGAAACTCACAGAGATGCTCCTGCCTCTGCCTCCCGAGTCTGGGATTAAAGGCATGTGTCACCACAGCCCAGCTGTGCATGTGATTTTAAGGATTGTCTTTTGTACAGTTTCATATGGACAATTATCTAACATATTCACAGAATCTCACATTAGTGATGAAGTGTAGTGAGAACCAGGAATAACGAAACAGCCTTCAGTGCAGCACTGCAGGCATAAGGTGGTGGAAGTACACATTCCCAAAAGTGAGGTCATTCCCCCCCAAAAAAAAGTTAAACTAAATCACTATAACAAGGGGAATCCTGGATTTGGGGGCATTCTACACGTTAATTTTAGGCAGTCCTAACATTAATTTTAAAAAAATAGCATTAATTTTTAGAAAATTAAAGAACATGGATCTTTGAAAAAGATTTGGATCAAACCAAGGAGACACATGCTGGAGAGATAGATGGCTCAGTGGGTAAGCACTGGCCAGTCTTCAGAGAATCCAGGCTCTGTTCCCAGCACCCACACTGTGTGACTCATAGCTACCTCTAAGTGCAGTCGCAGGGGATCTGATGCCTGTCCTGGCCCCTTGGGGCAACTTTGCACACACGCTGCACATGCACACACTCAGCCAAATATACATGCTACTAAAATAAAAACAAATCTCTGAAGAGACACAGACCACAAATATAAGATAGGAATATCACAAATATAAATATAAAAAATTTTGGTAAGGTACCAGATCAATTACAAATGGGTCAAGTGTTACTGACACGCGCCTTCTGTGTCCCTAACAGCTCCTCTTCTAGCATCCCTGTGACTTTTCACTAAAGACACATTTTGTTGTTGTTGTTTTGTGGCTGTCAAGACACTCGCCTGCTTTACACATGTAGAAAGTGCCTGTCAGGTTGGTTTCAATCACAGCTTGCCATCCCTTTGCACTGATGTCTTCAATAGGAGACAGGAACTGGCCTCCTCCGTTGTTTACCAAGAAGTTGATCTTACCATGCTTAGCTAAGGTAGATCTGACCAAATTGTTCACCTGAAGAAACAGTGAAAGCACAAGTTTAATAGCTAACCCGCTATGTGACCCAGTCGCTTGTTTTAGAAATATAAAACAATTTGTAGACTCTTAACAATGCATGCTAATTCTAAATACTACAACCCAAACACATAAAGCCACCAAAAAATAAACCCCTAATCCCAATGTGAACTTACCGCTCTACAATACTCATAAATCACAAGCTAACATTCGAAGTTTAATAGCAAGATACACCAAAGAGTCACCAAGATACTCCTACACACAAGCCTCAATAGTATTAATTTCTAAGTACCAACATTAAATAGTGATGAAATCAGAAAAAAAAAAGAACACCAAGAAATGCCTTAAAGGGTCTCATGAGAGCACATCCTTGTTCAGCTCCCCTTTCTTGCTCCAGCACCCCTCATTCTGAAGTTAGCAGCTCATTAAGTCACGAGCACACACATCTACTTACAGCTCTGCCTTCTTGTGGTCCTCATCACCTTTAAGTACAGATGGGGTTAGGCCCAACTTATGCAAAGAGCAACGAGTGACTGTGTTGTGCAGCCATCTTTACTTTACCTCTTCCTCTTTCCTGATGTTGCACTGTATGGCAGTGACCTGAGCACGGCTGGAGGGAGGCAGGGACTTTCTTAGCTCATCTGCAGCAGCGTTTAATCTGTCCAGCTTCCGGGAAGCAATGACCACATTACACCCTAAGGAGAAAGCAGCCAGAGAGGAAGGAAATAAGCTTCCCAGAGCTGCCCAAATTAAAGGGCTAGAGGAATATCTCAGTGGTTAAGAGCACTTGCTACTCTTCCAGAAGACCCAGATTTGATTCCCAGCATCCACATGGCAGTTCATAACTGGCTGTAATTCTGGTTCCATGGGATCTGATTCCCCTTTCTGGTCTCCATAAGCACTGGGCACATAAATGATAAACAGATATATAGGCAAAACACACTTACACATAAAATAAATAAATAAAAAGCTGTCCATAGCACATTCCTTTAATCCCAATACTCAAGAGGCAGAGGCAAGTGAATCTCTGCGAGTTTGAGGCTAGCCTGGACTACAGAGTGAGTTCCAGCATATCTGGGGCTACACAGAGAAACCCCACCTGGGGAGAGGGTATGGAGCTATCCACTATTTTGTGTATTCCTGTAAAAGACGGTGGGGTGGAGGAGGAATTAGGATGGGTTTGGGTAAGATGTAACAACAGGAACTGAATTTACCCTCTAGCCTCAAATGACTGAGAATCTAGATGTTAACCTACACACACACACACACACACACACACACACACACACACACACACGAGAATAAACACAGGAAACAATTATTTTGAAATATTGAATATCAAGTGCCATGGAGCTAAAAATGAGCAGCCACCTCTGAGAGAGAGAAAGTGTAAGAGAGACCTATGAATAAAGCATATTACTGTAAGACCAGGAGTTAGGCAGACTCCATGGTAGGCAGACAGACAAATAAGAGGACCATGGTGAGGCAATAAAGGTAGTGAACTTTGGCTGGCTTCTTCCTCACCCTCCTGACTTGAGACTAAAGCCTGGCAGCTTAAAACAAAGGCCTTGTGGGCCTTTTCTCCTGCCAGCAGGCCCCCACTGCTGGATTAGCTCAATGGGTTTACACCAGGGTCAGGGCATGTTACTCAACAGTTAGGGCCAATCAATCATCCTATCTTTTTTCAGACTGACCCAACTCTACTTTAGGAGAGGAAAACTCTTCACAGATTTAAAGAACTCTAGCCCTAGCGGGCGGTGGTGGCACACACCTTTAATCCCAGCACTTGAGAGGCAGAGGCAGGCGGATCTCTGTGAGTTCGAGACCAGCCTGGTCTACAAGAGCTAGTTCCAGGACAGGCTCCAAAAAACCACAGAGAAACCCTGTCTCAAAAAAAAAAAAAAAAGGGTTGCCATGGTCATAGTGTCTCTTCAGCATGGGAGGGCAGAAGCAGGCTGGGGAAAGGACTCTTCGAAATGAGCCAGGGAAGGAATCCAGAGAAGGATTTTTTTGCTCACCACTAAAAAAAATCTTTCACTGGGTAAAAGGTGTAACTTTGGCAATGAAGCAACACTAGCCAAGAGAGGCTGCCAGGATCAACTCGTAATTTTAGAATACTGTTTGGAAGTATTAAACTATTTCTAAGTAACCAAGCTGCATGCCAATGAGGGGCAAAGGTGGGGAAAGGGAGCTCAAAAACATTTATAAGACTATAAAAACAGCCAGCAGCAATAAGGCTCAAATCGGTCAGTATCCAGCAAACCCATAAAGAGAGATGTCAACTAATAGAAACCACTCCAGAAATGACACTGATGATATGCCTAAAGAAACCACTGATGGGGCTATAGAGATGATAGTTCAAGGGCAAAGAGCACTTGCTGCTCTTTTAAAGGACCCAAGTTCAGTTCCCCAGCACCCATGTTGGGTGGTACATAACCACCTGAAACTTTAGCTTCAAGGGATATGATGCCCTTTTTTGGCCTCTTAAAGGCACCTGTACTCACAGACGCGCGCGCGCGCGCACGCACACACACACACACGTACATAGTTTAAAATAAAAATAAATTTAAAAAAAAAAAAACTACTGACGAAGAGAGAAACCTTCAAAACAGTTAGAGGAAAACAATGCATGACACCCAGAGCAACAATAAGAACAAAGGCTGAGAGCTTTTTTTCCAAAACAGAGCAAGGCAGAAGACAGTGGAATAAGCAAAGTGCTAAGACAACAAAATACAAATAACAAACCGAGACATCCTTTCAGGATCGACAGCAAAAGCCACACACATCAAATGAGAAGACATCATCAGAGCAGTCCCTCATTGAAAAAAAACAAAAAACAAAAAACCAACCAGTCAGTGCAAAGACGTCCTTCAAGTAGAAGGAAAACGGCACATTAAGCTGTAAGTCTAGGAAGGATCCAATCAGGAACTCCCTGCAACTGTGGCTGCCCCACAGAGAACTGCACAAGACTGAGCCCATCAACATTGTATCAGGGTTGGAAGAAGTGCTCATGAGGCCTTACCCCTTCCTGGTGTTCTATGGCAAGTCAATAGTGGCTGAGGGAGGCGGAGCAATTTTCTTCAGTGGTGTAGCCACCGGTAAGTTGCCCATACATTAATAAAAAGCCCCCAACCCATGCTCGTCAAGCAATCACAATTAAACTCAATAGGTCACACACACACACACACACACACACACACACACACACACACACACAAGACATCAAAGTAGGGGGTAAATCTATTTCAAAGACAAGGCTTTCAGGAGAGGGGGGAGATGAGAGAGAACAATGGGTGTTAGAAATGACTAAAATTCATTACTTACCTGAACAAACTTATCAAAGACTACACCAATCAGAAGAACTGGAAATGGTAATTTTGTGAATATACACACTTTCTTTCCATTCAGATTGACTTAAAGGGTCATGGGAAGGCCAAAAATTAACAATGTATTGTGGGATTTAAATATATATGTAGAAATTAGCTAGGCAGTGGTGCTTAATTCCAGTACTCTGGGAGGCAGAGGCAGGAAGGTTTCTGAATTCGAGACCAGCCTGGTCTACTGAGTGAGTTCCAGGACAGCCAGGACTACACAGAGAAACCCTGTCTTGAAAACACAAAACAAAACAAAACAAAACAAAATACATATAATGAGCACCAGCCTACTTTCTTGAGACAGGGTCTCTCGTGATTACTAGTTATTTCTCCCCTTTCAAGTACTAACTGGGCAAAGCCCATGCTTAGCTTCCAAGGTCAGGCACATCAGGCTGGCGTGGCTCTAGAGATGGCTAGACTCTCTTCAGGTCTTTCAGTAACTGATTCCCGCCCATCTGTCCTTCAGTTCAGAATTTAGCTGTGCTGTTTCCTCATCTTCCAGCGATAAATTCTGTGACATTTTGCAAAAGTGAATGATTAAACCATGTTGGCTAATGTGATGAAAGCAAAACAAAGAAGTAGAAACTGGGAACAATGGAGGTGACTTCAGAATGAAAGCCAAGGGCATTCCAAGGGGGTTAGCAGATGTGGACATGCAGCCAAAAGACACTGGTGAATGCAACTTGTCAGTGTAAACAGGGAGAATGGTTAAACTCAAGGCTGAACATGTTTAAGAAAAAATGACAACCAACCAGCTTCACACTAAAGCAATTCTTGGGACCATTCCTTTTCTTTTTTCTCCTTTTGAGACAGGGTCTCACTATGTAGCCTCAGCTGGTCCAAAACTCATGGATATCCTCTGCTTCTTTCTGGAGGGCTGAGATTAAAGGAGTCACTACAGCTGGTCTTATGCATTTAATTGACAAATAACTGTACGCTTATAAGTACATTTTGATGTTTTGGTATTTATATACTATACAGTGATAAAATCAGACTAATTAACACATTTCCTTCCATACTTACAATTTCTTTGTGTTAAGGATATGTAAAAGTCTATTCTTAAACCAATCCTGGTGTTGAAGGCCTGCAATTCCAGCTACTCAGGAGTCTGAGGCAGGAGGTCAAAGTTCAAGAGCTGCTTTGGCTACAGAATGAGCTCAAGGCCAGACTCTTTAAAAAAAGAGTTCTGGGGACGTGTCTTGGTGCTAGAACGAGCTGAACAAGAACCAAGCTCTGGGTGCAATTCTCAGTACTAAATCCAAAAGACCAAAAACTAAAACCCCTACAATCCCAAACCCAGAAAAAAGTCTTTTAACAATTTTGAAACATAAAACACATTGACTTTTACGACATGTATTCAGTGTGTGTGTGTGTGTGTGTGTGTGTGTGTGTGTCTGTAATTAGGAATCATTCTGAATGCATTACCTTTACAAAGACACAATTCCACAGCACGTTCTCACAGGTCTGGTTATTTCCTACTTCAGGCGCAGTAATCTTTGGTTCTAAGTCCCTTGATTTCATACTTCGTGACTCCTCTACCAACATTTCCGGCTCTTGGGAAGAACGCCTCCCTTTCATCAAGCGCTGCAACTCTTAGCTTAACAACCTCTCTCCTGCCCCAACAGCGCCCACTTCTGTCTCTGAACCCAGTTTACCCGAGCTAGACCCCAGCGGACCCTAGCTCTGGGTGCCCAGCTTCAGAGACCTGCTCACGTACCCAGGTGCAGGAGCTCCCGGGAGATGGTTTTTCCGATGCCCGTGGCCCCGCCGGTAACCACGGCCACTTGGTTCTGCAGCAACCCGGCCGTTAGGCAGCTCTGACCCTTAATCCAAGACCCCATTGCGGCAGAGCGTCTGTCACCGCGATCCAAACAGACAGACCTTAGACTCCCTAAAGGGAGCAGAGCACTGGGGCTCCGCGCCCACGTGACTGAACAGACCCTGCCTCTGTACCCGCGTGGTCCCGCCCAGGCTCCGCCTTCGCGACGCACTAGGCGTCCTCCCAGAGCTGGACCGCTCCTGGCGGCCGCCTGCAGACCTCTGCATCCTCTGCCTCCCGCCTCCCTCCTGGGTCCCAGTGCAAGTGTGGGTGAGACTCCTCGTTCGATTTTCCATATTTATTTTTAAATATTGATGACATTGGGGAAAAGGAGAGGGGATTGAAAAGAGAGAGTGAGAAAGAAAAGAAATGGGGAGGATGTTCTCTGTTCTGAAAATCCAATCCTGGGGCCATAGGTCTCACCGTTAATTAAAATTAAATCTCCAGGGCATCTGCGTAGAGAAAGGCTGCAGGTCTGGGCCCTCGCTGTGTCCTTCTACAGCAGACGTCCGTCTGTCTGGGCTCCTGCTGCAGTGTGCAGGGGGCTAGGAAGTGGGAAAGGCTTAGGTTAGCTGAAGGGAAGACAGACATCCAGGTCCCAGATTTCCTCATCTTCAGGGATGGAGTCTAAGAGAGGGTGTGGGTCCGGAGAGGACATACAGTTGCAGTTGTCCTCAGAGCCTAAATAATGAATGATTAAAAAGAAATAGATTTAGGCCCACTCTTACCTTCTCTGTGCCCCACCCAGAAATGAAAGAAAGAAGTACCCTTCCCTAGATTTGAGATCTAATCCGTTTTGCCTGGGCTACATAGAGAAAAAAAAAAAGATGAATTGTTGCGTGGTTTTTGCAAGATTCATCTCTAGATTTATGTTTGAGAACCTGCCTTCAGCATGAAACATCTCTGTTCTGAATTGGTTCCAAGGAATAATTTATTACTCACATTCTGTTTTAGTTATTATTATTGCTTTTCTTTCTTTTTCTCTTTTCTTTCCTTCTTTTTTTTTTTTTTAGACAAGGCTGTCTTGGAACTATGTACACTAGGTTGACCCAGAACTCAAAGACACACTTGCCTCTGCCTCTGGAGTGCTGGGATTAAAGGCATGTGATACCATGCCCAGCCCTTCTATCCTTCTATCTTCTCTCTCTCTCTCTCTCTCTCTCTCTCTCTCTCTCTCTCTCTCTCTCTCTCCTATCTATCATCTATCTGTTATCTATCTATCATTTGTCTATCTACTATTTATCATCTATTATCTATCTGTCTATCAAATATCTATCATCTATCTATCATCTATCTATCTATCTATCGTGTGTGTGTGTGTGTGTGTGTGTGTGTGTAATGAGTGTGGTTGTCAGAAGACAAACTTCAGGAGTCACTTCTCTCCTTGCATGAGTCCCAGGAGTCGAAGGGAGGACATCAAGCTTAGCAACAAGCACCTTTACCCTCTTAGCCTTGTCCACTCTCTGCTTCTTATTTGTGACTTGTGAATTTGGCAGATGTAGGGACTATGTTAGGTCATTGTTCTTACTCCAAGAATAATGGCATTTGTAAGTTTGTGGGAGTGTTCTATTCTTCCTTTCCAGGTAGCAAGCCATAAACCATTTGTTTGTGTTTCAAGAGGCGGGGGTTGGAGCCACCACTTAAAACTCATGAAGAGAGTTAGGAGTAGAATTAGCCATTGCTTCTCTCCTTGGGTCTCTCTGACCAGCAAGACTGCACCTCTGGGAGAACCTCATCTCCTCCTGGTCCCTCCACCTCCCTGCTCTTCTCTAACCTCTCTTTAGAGCAGATCCCTCTCTAACTTAGTTGCCGATAGCACCTAACCAACCCGTGTAAAGGAAGTACTAAAACTCTCTGGCTATCTGGCTATCTTTGGGTAGTTGGCCAAGGGCTCCATTATCCTTCTGTTTATGCCAGTTATGTGCTTATGAACACATTTAAAAAATGGTACCATTGTAACCTTTTTTGAAAAGTAAATTTGTGTGTGTGTGTGTGTGCGCGCGCGTGTGCACGTGTGTCTGTGGAAATCAGAGCAGGATGTTGAATGCCCTTCTCAATCATTCTCAACCTTATTCCCTTGAGACAGGGTCTCTCACTGAGCCAGAGCTTGCTCTCTTTTACCTGGTGGGAGCCACAGAAACCCCCCTGCCATCTCCATCCAGCACCGTCTAATTCTGGGCTTACAAGCCAGTGTGTTCTGGGGATGTGACTCAGATTTTCACGCTTGCACAGAAATTAGTACCCTTACCTTCTGTGACATCTCCACGGTCCCCTAAAAAGAATTTAGGCAGAAGTGCTGAAGAATCATTTCAGAAAAATATAGTTTCTTGTTCTCTGATCCCAATGATAAAGTGATATATGTTGTTTGTTCGTTTGCCTGTTGAAGTCCAGCCATGGGGCTTGCGCATCGTTCCTCCTTGGAGCTAAACCTCCTTCTCCCCTACCCCATATATTTTTTAACAGAAAAAAAATATTGAGTGTGGCCACTGAGCAGACCGAGGCAGGGGATCAAGTGAGAAGGTCACGGGGGACATGAGGCAGTTATGCCCAGTGGGGATGACAGGGTGCCACCTGTCATCTGCGTGGACGCTGCAGGCTGAGCAGTCAAAGTTTCCCCCCTCAGTCCCAGGAAAACCTGGGATTCAGAAGTGTGGGATCTCTTGGGGCTCCTTTGTTTAAAATAAGAAGGTACGTTCTATTTGTCTCTTCCTCTGCCTCTAGGGTTTCAAAATCTGCTAACCCCTAAATGTCAGCACACCCAGCAATTTCACTTGGAAGCTGTTTGTTTTCAGATTTTAATCCTGCCCCCTTCAGGAGCCACCCCCGTCCTGAGCCCACCACCGTGCTGCTTCGGTGACTCCCTTGGTCAAATCCAGCACTGGTCTGCATGGCTGCCCCCTTTGTCCTGGCTTGCTGTCACCAGGATGCATCCACGCCCCCTGTGCTGTCTGTCACACCCCATTAGCAGTGGCTTCTTTTCTAGGCTGAGATGCTTTCGCTGCTCACCCAGCTCCCTGTCCCTCCTCCTCTCCATCTTCCTAGTTAACATTATTTCTCCCTGCTCTGCAAAGCAGCTGCTGGCTCAGAGTGACAGGTGCTTATGGGGTTCTCAACTGGCAGATTCACAGAACTGCTATGCTGAAGGAAACCAGTAAGGCCCCTGACTCCGCCTATGCCTCAAAGCAAGAGCCCTCTCAGACTGTTCAGTCAGTGCTGACTGAGCCCATGTGTACCAGGTACTGCTCAAGGCCTGGGAAATACAGCACAGTCAATGGGGTAGTTGGGTTTCCCTGTCTTTGTTCAATCTTATTTTCTATCATGTAAGAGTGGAGGGGTTGGGCCGGGGTGGGGTGAGAGGAGTACTCACCACCATAGGTAGAGCAGTAGCCAAATAAAGAATTTAATTTTTTTCATTAATTTTTTTCATTTATTTTACATACCGACCAACGTTTCCCCTCTCTTTTCTCCCCTGTTCTCTCTCCCCACCTTTCTTTTACCCACCTCCTCCTCTGTCTCCATTCCGAAGGGGGCAGGCCTCCCATGGGAGTCAACACAGCAAGGCACATCAAGTTGAGGCGGAAACTCCTCCCCTGCATCAAGGTTGGACATGGCAACCCAGCATAGGGATTGGGTTCCCAAACCCAGCTTAAGCGCTGGTCAGGTTCTGATCCCACTGCTGGGAACCCCACAAACAGATGAAGTCACACAACTGTCGCACATATGCAGAGGCCTAGGTCAGTCCCATGCAGGCTCCTCAGAGGAGCTCAGGTCGGCTGTTTCTGTGGGTTTCCCTGTCATGACCTTGACTCCCTGCTTCGATCTTCAGTTCTTTCAGTAAGGAGCATACTATGTCTTCAGAAACAATTCCCTCTGCTCCCAGGAACTGTTTCCTTTGTAGATGAATGGTGCTAAATCAGCCTCCTTGTAGTTTTCTCCTTACTAAGGATTGAACGCAAGCCCTTATGCATACGGAGCAAAATGGCCTTGGGTATATGGGGCAAGCAGTCTCCCACCGAGCTGTCTCTCCAACCCTTTTCATTTTTTATCTTGAGAAAGGGCTTTACCTAGTTGCGCAGGGTGCCCTTGACCTCACTCTGTAGCTCAGGCAAGCACTGAGCTTGCAATTCCCCTGCCTTAGCTTTCAGAGCAGGAGAGCACAGGCCCACACCACCAGCCTGGGCTACTGAATTCTTTCATTTTCCATCCAAAAATCCAGGGAGTGGGACAGGTTGCTAGGGAAGGAGAAGCATTCATTAGGAAAGGCTGCAAACCAAGAAGATGGCAGAGAACTACCATCCTTTCAGGTTCCTTATAGGGAACCCAGAAGCTCCAAGGCCTTTATAGGAAAGTGCGGAAGGACTAGGTGAGCCATGGCAGCGAGACAATGTGCTGAACTGTACCTTAACCACCTGCAGACTGGATTTTCTCTTCTCTTCTGTTGTAATAATCTTGAGTTAACATTGGCTTTCTTTCGTGCCTTTGATGAACCCACTATCTTCCTACAAGTTAAACACTTAACTTGTAGGGCCTGGAGAGATGGCTCCAGGGCACTTCTTGATCTCCAACAGGACCTCAGTTCGGTTCCTAGAACCCATACTGGGAAGCTCGTTGTCACCTGTAATTCCAGTCATACAGAATCGGATCCCCTCTTTTGGCTCTGTGGGAACCCATGAATGTGGATTTGTTGCACCTTGACCAAAGATCAGAGAGCTCAGGCCTGTTCTTGCACCTTGCTGGCCTCAAACTCACAAGGATCCGCCTGCCATTGCCTCTGGAGTGCTGGGATTAAAGGTGTGTGCCACAACCACCTGATCAAAAATCTTACTTAATTATAATCGAAGGATTGACTAAGGCAGCAAGACTAGAAGCCAATGCAATTAAATTTAAATGAAAACCAGTTTTTCCTTTTCTCTTTCTCTCTTTCTTTCTTCCTTCCTTTCTTCTTTTATTCCTTCTTCCCTCCCTCTTCCCCCTCCCTTGTTTTAGACAGGTTTTTGTGTGTAGCCCTAGCTGTCCTGGAACTCACCCTGTAGACCAGGCTGGTCTTGAACTCAGAGGTCCACCTGCCTCTGCCTCCCTAGTGCTGGGATCAAAGAAGTGCATCATCACACCAGCCTCTAAAACCAATTGTTCTAAGAATGAGTTCTAGAGTATAAGTGTATTTTTTCAACATCTATTGATCCCCTGGATGACGAAGAGTTCAGTGTGAGGTTAACGTTCTGTACTCCCATGCTGATGAACAGACTTTGAACTGGTCGTAGATAGGAGGATGGGCCTGGTTTCCAGAAAGGAGTTTCTTCTCTTGATCCTGTTGATTAACGTTTTGGGAACATGGAGGATTTATTTTACCCTCTTATAGAATCCAAAATGCTGGAGAGATTCCGAATCTGTTTCTCACACCAAACACTATAGCATGCTATGTGCACAAAAACAGGGAAGAGAATTAGCCCCTCCCCTCTCTAACATCCTTTATTGATTTTTCTGCAAATTTCACATCATTTACCTTAATCCCGTCCGCCTGCCAGTCCCTCCATATCTGCCCCTGAAAATTAATTTAAAACAAAACAAAGCAACCCCCCCACTCTTCTGTCTTTCCAGCACCTCTTCATCCTAGTGGCGTGGGGAGCTTTGGTGTGTCTCGCAGTACACCCTTTGGTTCTGTCAGCCCTACCTGCAAATGTTCATTGCAATGAGTTCAAGGCCTCTGGTACAGATATCTCTCAGATATCCTGCTGTTATTCCGAGTCGTGGAGGTCCTGTGGCTATCATTCCACAGGACTAGTCTCTTCACACATTCCAGCAGGTCAGAGATGGGGTAGATGTGAGGATGAGCCAGCCCAAGGCCCAGGATGTATAGACCCTCCTCTTTTAACAACTGTTTACATCATTCAGAGAAGACATTTCTTGAATTAAGCAATCGACAGGTGCATACTGACTTTCTGGTGGGAGTCTAACCCACTAGGGATGAAGAGGTATGAAGCATGGGGCAGTGCCTGACCTTTGCATACAAACAAACCTTTGCATGTTTCCTGCCTGCCTGTGGGGATGAGTGAGAACTCACGACGCCACTCCTACTCCATGGCATGAGGAACTATATAACTAAGTATTAAGAGTATAGAACACATGGTGGGTGCTATGGAACTCCCCCATCCCAATTCTGGGGTTAAAAGCACATGGCCATGCCTCGCTTTCACATGGGTGTTAGGGATTTGAACTCAGGTCCTCTTGCTTTCATAGCAAGAGCTCTTATCCATTGAGCCATCTTCCCAGCACCTGGCATGCACTTTGTTGTTGTTACTTGTAAAGATAATTTATTTGGTGTTGAGGAGCTCACACAGAACTCTGTCATGATCCTCCTGCCCTCAATTCATAGAAACTGATGGCAGAAAAGTGCTTGCCTGGAAAGAAAATGCAGATGCTGTCCAGGAGGTAGAGCTGAGGTCAACTAAACTCGTTGTTGTTTTGTTTTATCAAGACAGGGTCTCTCACTATGTAGACCAGGCTGGCTTTGAACTCACAGAGATCTGCTTGACTCTGCTTCCCAAGTGCTGAAATTAAAGGCACATACCACTATGCCCCGATAGTATCAACTATACTCTTTTTTTTAAATTTTTTTATGATTTATTTATCTTTATTTTATGTGCATTGGTGTGAAGGTGTCAGATCCCCTGGAACTGGATTTTCAGACAGTTGTGAGCTGCCATGTGGGTGCTGGGAATTGAACCCAGGTCCTCTAGAAGAGCAGTCAGTGCTCTTAACCGCTGAGCCATTTCTCCAGCCCCTCAACTATACTCTTAAAGAATGACAGACATGAGGCCCTGGAGAAAGACTCCATCCAGCGTGGGGATTTCCCACCCATGATCTGTGACCCCTTCATACCCCATAAAAGTCTTGAACCAAGTGAAGGAGGAACGCGAAAGAGTCTCTCCTGTTTTCCTCAGGGTTGGCCTTGAACAAACCGACTGGCAACTAATGTCCACTAAGTTCTTGTCTCCCCCGGGTTTACAGCAATGAGCAGAGTAACTGAAGATCTGGCAATGTCAGGAGTCCACCTGTGATTGATTAAACTTTGTCCCTCTGCAGGAGTAAAACACACCCAACACCAGTGATAAGTGTCTCTCTTGGCAACAGACTGTCAGCAAAGGCGGATGCCATTTTTTTTAACCTGTCAGCTCTGGAGAGGTCTTGCTATGACTGGCTGTCAGACAGTGGGTGTGAGTCTGAGATGTATTCTAATGTCTGTGAGAAAGCCTCCCACAGCATGTCTGAGGCTGTAGTTGGGGAAAACACTAGGCTGCTTCTGTGAACCAGAATAAGGACTTTGGGCCATTTCTATGTCTTTGACATGCTCATGCTCAGTTTGCATTACACATTACGTTGCTTTGTCTGGTATCCATGTTCAGTGGAATTATTTATGTTTGATTTTTTTTTTTTTTTTGTGACGGGGTTTCCCTGTATTCTTAGCTGTCCTGGAACTTGCTCTGTAGACCAGGCTGGCCTTGAGTTCACAGAGATCCTCCTGCCTCTGCCTCCTGAGTGCTGGGATTAAAGGTGTGCACCACTGTCGCCTGGCTTATGTTTGAGTTTTAATATAATATTTCTTATTAATTCTTTAAAAATTCACATATATAATGTATTTTGATAATACTTAAGCCCCACTCTGCCCCCTAACTCCTCCTAGATTCAATATCAGGACCCCACCCTATGCACTTTTAACATAATTTTAAATTTGGTGGAGGCAAATATTATTATTAATAACAGATTAATAATTTGTTATATATTAATAAATCCTGCTATTATATATTAGTAAGCATACTATGAAAAATAGCTTATGAAATACAGTGACAGCCTCTACTGATAGGGAAGTTTTTAAACTATTTACCAAAAAACTTTCCATTTTCAAACTATTTGTTTATCGTTGAGAATTGCTGGAGTCTGTGCCCAGCCCTGTCTTCCCAGGGCCCCTGAGAATGTATGCTTCCAGTAGCTATGGGCTTCCAGTTTTCTGTCGCTATTTTCGTTCCTAATTCTTCAATCCTTCATTTCCTTCTTGTTCTTTCTGAGTATTTTCTTGGTTTTAATGCCAAATGCACACCCTGTCATGTCATTTATTCTCAATTACTTAGTCTCTCCTCCTCTTATTTGTTTTGAATAGTCTCAGTGTCTCGTGGACTGGCCCAGTAGGCACAGCTAAAGTGAAGTGTGGCTGTGGACGAGCAAGCAGAAATACATCTTAGCTTGCCATTCAGTCTAAAGCACAATCCATGTCTAAAACATTATTGTGTGACAGGAAGGACTCTGAATCATACTTCTTCCAATGTGAACACACACAGCCGGTTTCGGCTTTATTTCCAAACTTTGGGTGCATTTGTTTTTTGTGGAATGACAATTTTGTCGTTCCAGGCAGTACATAACTGTCCTTTGCCCTTTGCCCTTTCACTCTTTTGTAATCCCCATGGATCAGCAGATTTTTTTTTACTTTTTTAAAATGTATTTGTTTATTAAAGATTTCTGTCTCTTCCCCGCCACCACCTCCCATTTCCCTCCCATTTCCCTCCTCTTCCCCCAATCAAGTCCCCCTCCCTCGTCAGCCCAAAGAGCAATCAGGGTTCGCTGCCCTGTGGGAAGTCCAAGGACCACCCACCTCCAACCAGTTCTAGTAAGGTGAGCATCCAAACTGCCTAGGCTCCCCCAAAGCCAGTACGTGCAGTAGATCAAAAACCCATTGCCATTGTTCTTGAGTTCTCAGTAGTCCTTATTGTCCGCTATGTTCAGTGAGACCTGTTTTATCCCATGTTTTTTCAGACCCAGGCCAGCTGGCCTTGGTGAGTTCCCAATAAAACGTCCCCATTGTCTCAGTGTGTGGGTGCACCCCTTGCGGTCCTGAGTTCCTTGCTCGTGCTCTCTCTCCTTCTGCTCCTGATTTGGACCTTGAGATTTCTGTCCGGTGGGATCAGCAGATTTTTGATACTTGTCTTTATATCCTAACCTTAATTAACTGCCTGAAATAAATCAGGTGCTTATGGGTAGCATTCTTAAAGGTGAGGCGTAGAGGAAGATATTCTATACCCCTTTATTATCTGGTCATGCCTAGAGGACTCCCTAAACAGCACAAACCCACAGGGTCTCATCACAGAAGGCTGTGTTTTAGGTGTGTTACTTGAACATGCATAATAAATACACTTGCATTCTTTTTTTTTTAAATATTTATTTACTTACTTATTATGTATACAACATTCTGTTTGTGTGTATGCCTGCAGGCCAGAAGAGGGCACCAGACCCCACCACAGATGGTTGTGAGGCACCATGTGGTTGCTGGGAATTGAACTCAGGACCTTTGGAAGAGCAGGCAATGCTCTTAACCACTGAGCCATCTCTCCAGCCCCTACACTTGCATTCTTGAATAAATCACCAAACCAAGACAAGAGAAAAGAATACGATCAGGTTATATGGTATAAAAATTATTTTATTATTTTATTTTTTAAAAAATATATATTTATATATTTATTTATTTATTATGTATACAATATTCTGTCTGTGTGTATGCCTACAGGCCAGAAGAGGGCACTAGACCCCATTACGGATGGTTGTGAGCCACCATGTGGTTGCGGGGAATTGAACTCAGGACTTTTAGGAAAAGCAGGCAATGTTCTTAACCACTGAGCCATCTCTCCAGCCCTAAAAATTATTTTAAATTATAAAAAACTTGCACTAATATTGCTGTTTCTGCAAAAAAGTTAAGGAACCTGGATGGAGCTTTCAGTTTTGAATGAAGACAAACAAAGGCAAGAACTCTGCCAAACTCGTCTACTTATGTCTAGCTGATCTCCCAGGTTGTTGGGCTGTAAATTCACTGGGCCAAGGCGTTTAGGAGCGCCCCCACCCCATTCTCTCCAGAAAGAGTCAGAGCAGATGGACTTCCCAGAGCAAAGAGCCCACCATGACGATGTTTGATGGCTCTCAGGAATCAGTGAGCTAAATCAGGGCTCCTCACCAAAATGGTCCAACATGGAGAGGCAGGGAAGACATGGTTCTCCCAAAGGCTAAGGATTCCCAAGTTTCCTAGTTAAAAATGTATATAGGTATAAAATCCTACTCCCCAAGTGTCTGTGCTTAATAAAATAATGTTTCCTACAATCCAAATCCTTTAGTAAAACAGACACTCGAGAAGCTGTGTCATGGCGTGGCTGTGACACAAACGACCACTTTATACCCATCTAAAGGCACCTGCATATACATGGCATACACACAAAGCTTTAAAAAAAAAAGCCTCCATAAGTCAAAAGGTGGGCATAATTACTTAAAATGACCAAGAGTGAGTCAGGTGTGGTGGCTCACGCCTTTAATCTCAGCTCTTGACAGGTGGAGACAGGCAGATGTCTGCAGATCTCTGTGAGTTTGAGGCCAGCCTGGTCTACAGAGCGAGTTCTAGAACAACAGTAGTTATACAGAGCCATGTCTAGGAGGAAAAAAAAAAGCTGAAGCTTCTTAAAAAAAAAAAAAAAAAAAAAACAACTCAAAAAACCCTTCCTTATTTGCCCAGCCTCTTTTCAGATGCAATGTCTGAAAGTTCCACTGGGTGGAACTGCTATAGACAAACAGATGTGGTACCATTTGTAAGAACAGGGAGATTTGAGCAGATTTCTATTTAATGTTAATTTAATTAATAATGATGTTAAAAATGGCTTTTAAAATTACACAGAGTACTGCTATCATGGGGCTTTATAGTGTGTGTGTTGGGGGATTGTATATGGCAGAGGACAGCTTCAATCCCTTCCATCTCCTTCCATCATGATGCAGTACAGGGATCCAAATTAGGCGCGGTGGTACCTCTGCCCTCTGAGGCATCTTGTTGTCCCATTTATTTTATTTTACATATTGAAGTAGAAAGGAAGTGTTTAAGATTTGTTGCTAAATACTATGAAGAAACAAGATTGACCTGGAATAGCTTTATTATTGTTGAAACTGGGTGATGGGTGCCAGGAAGACACATTAAAGTCCTTATTGTTCCTGGTTACCTAAGTGTTCAGGCTGGATGTTGCTAATATTCACTCTGTAGCAACAACAGTCACAGCAGCCCTTGGAACGGCTCAAGCTCGGAAATAGATTGCAACCTCCTGAGTGGGCGGCTGAGTTGTGAGGACAGAGCTCCTCTGTCTTGGTTTTCTTGGCGTGCCTTGGCTTAATGTTTTATTCCAGATGAAGCCTTTCAATCTCCTAGAACAGCAGTCCTCAACATGTGTGTAGCGACCCCTTTGGGGGTCAAACAGCCCTTTCACAGGGGTCACACATCAGATATCCTGCATATCAGATATTTACATTACAGTTCATAGCAGGAGCAAAACTACATTTATGAAGTAACAACAAAAATCATTTTATGGCTGGATCACTACAACATGGAGAACTGTGTTAAAGGGTCTCAGTAGTAGAAAGGTTGAGAACCACTGACCTAGAAAATCAAACTTCGCCCAAGGTGAATTTGTAACCATAAGTAGTGGGCCCGTGTTTTCTCCATAAGAGGCTTGTTCTTTTCTCTTCTTTCTGGTTTACATGCAGAAGAGAGGATGAAGTGTTGAAAGTGAAAGCACCTCTTCCGGATTCTCCCAACTTTCTCAGTACGTGTTGTACTAGGAGACAGGGTATGCTCCCACATAGCAAAGGAGTCGCAATTATGAGGTTCCACAAGTCTTCTTCCACTTGGGCATTGTTGGGATGTATTCTTGGCAGTCAGAAGTACAAAATATTGGCTCTACTCATGTCAGTCTCCATCTATGATGAGAGTAAGATTGGTTTTAACTCCTACCTGCCCGTAGACTTCCTCACTAACCGTCCTATACTCTATGCCCTTTAACGCGACTGGTGGGTTTTTCGCAATACTATATGTCTACGAATGACAAAAGGTAATATTAAAATTTTATTTGTCATCTGTTACTGAAAGAGGATTTCCATGGACCCCTCCCTCCTTCGTTGATTTCCCAGTTTCTCTCCAGCCTGCTGTCTTTGATTTCAGCTGATGCTTTGCTTTTCTGTCTTTTAAGTCGCATGCATCCTTGGGGACATGTTTGCATAGTCCTTTCGAGGTAGAAGCTGTGTGATGCATGGACCTTGAGTTTGCTCAAGCAAGTCAAACTCATCTAACGTAAGCTGGCCTACTTCTCAGGACACGGATGGAAGAGTCAGCACCAGCGGAAAGCCAGGGCCAGCTCCCAAGCCCCCACCATGGCTCACTAAGGAGGGCAGTGGCTGCTGCGCTGGCCCTGGATGGCGAGTCCACAATGGGCCGCAGGAAGAAGAAGAGGAAAGAGTCTCGCCCAGAGTCCATCATCATCTACCGGTCAGATAATGAGAAGATGGACGAAGAGCCTGAAGAGTCAGAAGGTGGAGATCGGCCTAAAGAGGAGGAAGGGGAGGATTTCCTGGACTACCCTGTAGATGATGGTGAGTCTCTCTGGAGCCCCTTGTTCAAAGTCATCGGAAGAAAACCAGGAGACAGGAACCTGCTCACTGGCCTTTTTTTTTCTTTTCTTTTTCGGGTGATGAATTTCTTGAGGTGTTGTAATCTTCATTAATTATACTGATAGTAGTTACTTAGAGCCTGCAACACTCTGTTTTGGGTATATGGAATATCTCCCCTTTCATAACTGCTAGTGTAAGAGAAGAAGCTGCTTTATAGACTCACCACTTAACATAAATGGGATAAAGAGCCACAGTCGTTATGTTTCTTAATAATTATGGAAAGGCAGCCAGGTGAAGTGACTTACACCTGTAATCCCAGCATTTGGGAGGCTGGGATTGAGGCAAAGGGTTATGAATTGGATGCCATCCTGGGATATTCAGTGAGACCATGTCTCAAAAATAAAAAGGAAATCACCACCACCAACACATCAAGAGGCTATGTCTTAGGGTTTCTATTGCTGCAACAAAACACCATGAATAAAAACAAGTTGGGGAGGATTGGCTTAACTTCCACTGCACTTTTCATCATCAAAGAAAGGACAAGAACTCAAACAGGACAGGAACCTGGTGACAGGAGCTGATGCAGAGGCCATGGAGGGATGCTGCTTTCTGATTTGCTCCTCATGGCCCGCTCAGCCTGCTTTCTTATAGAACCCAGGACCACCAGCTCAGGGATGGAATCACCCACAATGGGCTGGGTCCTCCCCCATCAATCATTAATTAAGAAAATACTTAGCTGGGCAGCGGTGGCACCTGTCTTTGTCTTTAATCCCAGCAGAGGCAGGTGGTTCTCTGTGAGTTCAAGGCCAGCCTGGTTTACAGAGCTAATTCCAGGACAGCCAAGGCTTCACAGAGAAACCCTCTCTCAAAAAACAAAAACAAAACAACAAACAACAACAACAACAACAAAAAAAAGAGAATACCTTATAGTCAGATCTTATGCAGGAATTTTCTCAATTGAGGTTCCCTCCTCTCAGATAATTCTAGTTTGTGTGTCAAGTTGACATTAGATTGCCAGCACAGACTATAACTTATGATATCAGTGAGATACAGTATTCCTTCACAATTCAGGATTGTTGAAGTTTGTGTGAAATATGATAGCATCCTTGTGTGGAACTAGGTAACTCTCACACTCCTTAAGCTCACGTTTAAGCCACTTTGCCCGCACTGTAGGAACTGGTCAGCGTTTATTAAGATTCAAAGTATGCGTACTGCATGTCACAGAAATTCTGCCTATGCTCTGACTGTTTAAGGACATTTGTTGCCATTAAGGAGCAAGCATGCGGGTTATCTATGTTAAGAATTACTGTGCGGCAATGGACAGACCTACTGGTGTAGAAGGATGGGTGTTAAGACTCACGCCCAGTGTGAATGACACAAGACTTGTCTCTGCTCCCATGGAGCTGACCTTCCCCCCTGGGAGGACAGACAGTGAGGAAGATAGCTAGTTCCAAAGACAGCAAATTCACAGCAGTGGGGAGATGACTGGTGGAGGGTTTTTGTGCCACATTTGAATTCCTTCAAGTAACATGAAGGAGCCAGGTAAAGAAAGATGTGGGGAAGAGGTTTTTTTTTTTTTTTTTTTTTTTTTTTTTTTTTTTTTTTTTATAATAGCAAGGGACTTGGGGTGAGAGCAACACTGGCCTCTCACCAGTGGGTGAGAGGGTGGGAAGGGGTGTTTGTTAGGGTGTGGAGAGAACCAGGGGGAGGATGATGGAAGGTCAGCAGGGAAGCCAGGATGGACCCTGGTGCCTCTAGGAAGGGCATATGGGGGGTTGGGAACTAAGTTAAGGGAAACTTTCAAGCAAGGCAGACATATTGTTAATTATTGTATAGATATATTTAAAAATTCTTTTTATTATATATGTTTAGTTTTGTGTGTGTGTGTGTGTGTGTGTGTGTGTGTGTGTGTAGTGAGTGGCTATTATTTATAGTTTAAATTTAAGAGCTGGAGGCTGGGCGGTGGTGGTGCACACCTTTAATCCCAGCACTCGGGAGGCAGAGGCAGACAGATCTCTGTGAGTTTGAGGCCTTGAAAAACCAAAAATAAATAAATAACAAAATATAATAGCTGGCATGTCTAGAGGCATCTCAGGGAAACACAGGACTAGGGGTGAGAAGGAGGGGATGTACTATTCCCTCAGTGTGTACACACACACACACACACACACACACACACATTTTATGTGCAGGTTAATAGTCACAAATAATGCCTTCATAACACTTGTTACCTAGAAGCAGGGTCACGATAAAATGGTGTCTGGTGAGGTTCCTCACCAATCTGCATGTTACAGAGACTGTGCCAAGGCTGGGGTACAGAGAAACGGCGTGACAGCAGGAAGAACAAGTTAATCTTGCCCACGGCTTTGTCATGTGTCATCGGTGTCTGCGGGAGTGATAATGGCAGAGACTGCCCTCCAAGGGAGATCCGCTTTAAGCCTGCGGCTGACTCACTGATTCTGCGGCTCCTGCTCAGGTCCCTCTTCAGGATGGGGCTGAGAGGAAACGTGATCTCCTCAGTTCTCGACTCTCATCCCCTTTGTGCCCTACAGGTGTGTGGAATATGCCTTCGGACAGCCGCTATGTCACGCTAACGGGGACCATCACGCGCGGGAAGAAAAAGGGTCAGATGGTAGATATCCACGTCACCTTGACAGAGAAGGAGCTGCAGGAACTGACCAAACCTAAAGGGCTGTCCCGGGAAGCAGCCCCTGAGGGAAGGAGGGCCTGCCAGGTGGGGGCAGACCAGGGTCCACATGTGGTTCTCTGGACGCTGGTCTGCCTGCCTGTGGTCTTCGTCCTTTCTTTTGTAGTGTCGTTCTACTATGGCACTATCACCTGGTACAACATCTTCCTTGTGTACAATGAGGAGAGGACCTTCTGGCATAAGATTTCCTACTGCCCCTGCCTCATTCTCCTCTATCCGGTGCTCATCATGGCCATGGCCTCCTCCCTGGGGCTCTATGCTGCTGTGGTTCAGCTCTCGTGGTCCTGGGGAGCGTGGTGGCGAGCTGCCTGTGACATGGAGAAAGGCTTCTGCGGCTGGCTCTGCAGCAAGCTGGGCCTGGAGGACTGCTCTCCCTACAGCATCGTGGAATTGCTGGAGTCTGACAATACCTCAGGCAATCTCTCCAACAAGGACCCCATCCAGGGAGTAGAAACCTCCACTGTCTAAACCACCGGTGACTTCTTTCACAGGCCCTACTAGTCAATAGTCGTTCTACAGTTCTAGCAGGTTCTTTCCTTAAACCATCCAATACCCTTTACAGTCCTGGAAAATCCTGGCTCACATTGGTCATCCCACCACCTTCATTATTCCAAGAGGGCAGGAAACAGAAAAGCAGTTCATGTGATATACAAATGTGTCTTGGCTCTTTGCCCTAAAATGACCATTTATCTGGGATATGGAGATCCATTATAAATTCCCTCAGGGGCCCGAAGGTGTTATTGGTGACTGTAATCCAGGGAAGTGTGTGCCTAAATGCAACAGAAAGAATAAAGAGGCTCAGGGGTGGGGCCGGAGAGATGGCTCAGGTTAAGAGCACTGGCTGCTCTTCCGGAGGCCCTGAGTTCAATTCTCAGAAACCACTTGGTGGCTCAGAGCCATCTATAGTGGGATCTGATGCCCTCTTCTGGCATAAAGTCAATGAGCACTCATATGCATAAAATAAATAAAAAAAAATCTTGAAAAGAGGCTCAGGGGTAACCAAATCCACCTAGAAAATAGCTGGAGATGGAATGACATATTTAGGGAGCTGAGCTACTGCTATAAACTGTGTGCATCACTTGTGCTACGTCTGTAGGTGGACCGGCCCAGGACCCTGTGATGTCATCTGGAGTTCTCTGGATGGTGGAATGTGGTCCTCAGGGCTCGCATCTTCAGTTTCAGATTTCCAAATGCTGACAACATCTCTAGCGGTACAGCTACATCATAGCAGTGTTCCTGGAAAACACAGAAGAAGCAAAGGAGAGCACCAAGCCCCCGTCAATATTTATTATATCTCATTGACCACACTATAGTCATATAGCCTTACCATCAAAAGATACTGGGAAATGCAATCTTTTATCTGGGTAGCTATATTCCTAGATGATATTGGGGTTATGTGGATTTGTGGGAACAGGGAGAATAGCTTTTTGGCAGGTGGGTAGGAGTCTACATCTTATGAGTGGTACTTAGATGATTCAGAATTCCAAACTACTAGTGCAGTTTTATTTATTTATTTGTTTATTCATTATTTTGGCCCTAGTCTTACACAGAGGATTTAAAGATAGATATGACCTACATACACTATGCATATGCCTTAGATAGTAGCATCTCATGTACTTGGCAACTTAACTTTTGCCATGTGATTTCAGGTTTCTTTAGAAAACCCATTAGGTAGAAGCATACGGTCATATAATCACAGTATAATTCTTCCTGGGAAGGAAGGGGGAACAGGGATTGACAGTATTTAATCTATAAACTATAAAGACAGAGGGAGAGAGAGAGAGAGAGAGAGAGAGAGAGAGAGAGAGAGAGAGAGAGAGAGAATCAGAGAATCTGCCGAACACTAACCCAGCAGGGATCAGTAGCTTAAAACACAAACCATGTTTAGCTCATACTCTGATCCAACCCAGGAGGCCTTACTCACTCGACCTTTCCAGCATGAAGCTCCTCTGGCAGAACTAGGAGTAACATAACAGATCCATCCAGGTGAAAAATTCTGGATGGAAGAAAGAACAAGTTCATTCTTAAGAGTGTCCTGGCTTCAAAATGTCAAGTCCTAAGAGGTCAGCGAGTTCTGGAGTTTGGGTTCTTACAAGAAGGGGTGATGTTCATTTTTCGTTGTCTCAGAAAGAAGTGCTTTGAAAACCTGCCATGAATTGAACTAGAGGGGTTGATCAAACTCCCCCAACTGCCAGCCAGGGACATTCATTTAATGTATGGTGCTGAACTCCACTTTCAGAGAATTAAAAAACAATCCTGTTATTAGCTTGATCAGAAGAAAAGAAAAATGTGTCCAGTATTTTTGAGAATAGCTGTGGTGCTTTCTGGTGCATTTCCAGAGATATGAATAATTTAAATAAAAATAAAGATAATAAAGTCTGATTAACATTTATCTATTTAGTTTTTGAGGTTCCTCCAATAGCTCTGAATGCTTTTGTTTACACAAAAAGGCAAGCCTGTGGTGGTTCTGTGGGAGATGGTCTCAGCAAGGGATCTTATATCTTATGTTCTGGTTATCAGTGGACCACAGATTTATGGGAATTCTATCTAGACAATCTGTTTCTGAGTTACCTTTTTACCTAACTCTTATTTTAAAAGTGCAACCACATTTATCACATTTATCTGTCAGTCACATTGGTTAGGGGAACCAATGACAAGGAGCATGGTGGCATTGTGGCGAGGGTAAGAATCCACCCAAAGCATACCAAGATGAAGCGGACATGGCGGTCAACCTTGACCTATGGACTTACAAAACTGAAATAATTTCAGAAGAGCCCTAGAGCCAGGTATGGCAATACACACCTCAAACCCCACCATAAGACTCATTCGTTCACCACGTTGGACTTCGGTGGTATCCAGTGCTTTGCTCTGCCATGGGTTCTCTATCTGTGTGCATTATTACTTCCTCTCCAGAAAATGTCTCATCGCACAACAGCGTGGACAACCTGAGTGATGACCACATGAGCATCAGAACAAAGATGTGCACCTGTTGTTTGTGACTCAGAGAAAACAGGCAGAGTTGCTGGAAGGGAAGGATTGCTGGGCGAGTCCCGTGAAAATGAGTGACAAACATTCAGAGCCAGCGGCAACCTCCATTTCTAGAAAAAGACATCTTAGGCTTCCTGAACTTATTTTTCAGCTACAGCTACTCCAAGCTATCAGGGAGCTCTTACCAGAGATTACTTTTTAGGTGTTTTTTTTTTTTTCTTCTAAAAATTATTTATTTATTATGTGCATTGGCGTTTTTACCACATGTATTTCTGTGTGAGGCTGTCAGGTCCCCTGGAACTGGAGTCACGGACAGTTGTGAGCTGTTCTGTGGATGCTGGGAATCGAACCCAGGGCCTCTGGTAAAGAGGTCAGTGCTTCCAACCACTGTACCATTTCTCCAGCAACTCCTGCCCCCTCCTTAAGTGTTTATACTTTCCATTTTGTCTGCAAAGTTGAAACGTTTTTCTACTTTTGTTTACTCGGAGTGTTATTCTTAAAAAAGGATGAGAGAGCCCGCCATGGGAAAGCAGCTACAGGAGGGCACCCTTCCTTGGCCCACGGTAGCGGCAGGTAACAGACACGTAAACACAGGAAATAGCCATAAGTATTTATTAAGGAAGGGGGAGAAGGAAAGACAGAGAAAAGAGATAAAAGGAGAGAGGAGAGATAAAAGAAGAGAGAGACAGAGAAAACGCGTGCGCACGCCAAGGAAGCAGAAAGAAAGAGAGGGTCCCAAGATGGCGATGGGCGGGTCAGAGGTTATGGGAGTGGGCGTGGCTAGGGCAGGGACCCAAGAATAATATTCCCACATCTTACTTTTGATAAAAAGCAAATTAGACACTTCAGTTTGAAGGAATTGGGGCGGCGAATTCTCAAGACTGCTTCCGGCTGATTGTGGGCGTCGTCTTGGGGGGGGGTGCAAGAGAAGGCTGGGGTGCTGGGAACATCCTGGCATAGCTGGTCTCTTTGCTTCTGACCGATGTCTGTGGCATGGGAATGTCTGGAGTCCCTGTTATTGGCAGAACACGGAGAATTGCCACTCTTTCCTTTGGCAGTTGGTCCTAAGGCCACTGTACCTTCATAGTCTTTCTTTAGTATCCTGCTTAGAAGGTCTTTAGAGGAGTTAAGTGCATTCCTCTTACGTAGGGGACTCTAACTCCAGAGTGCCAACACAAATGCTAACTGGAGTGATTAGCTCAGTGACCACTATTAACAATTATTTATTTATTTTTAGTCTTAAAAACCGTGTATGCATGCATCTGTATGTGGGTGTGTGCATTTGTGCGCAAGTGCCTGTGGAAGCCAGAAGAGGGCGTCAGATTCCATGGAACTGGAGCTTTGTACTGCCTGATGTGGGTACTGGGAACTCACCCTTGCAAAACCAGTACTTCCTTAACCTGTGGCCCATTTCCTCCAGTCCCTTATTTACTTACATTTTTTTAAAAAATGTACTTTTTAAAAAATGTATGAATGCTGTGTCTGCATGCATGATTGCAGGCCAGAAGAGGGCATCATATCCCATTATAAATGGTTGTGAGCCACCACGTGGCTGCTGGGAATTGAATTCAGGACTTCTGGATGAGCAGCCAATTGTCTTAACCGCTGAGACATCTCTCCATCCCTCTTTGTTTACTATTAAATTTATTTAAAATTTATTTATTGTGATGTGTGGGACACGTGGACGTCAGAGGACAACTTGCAGGAGTTGGTTCTTTTTCTCCACCAAGTGGGGTCCCTGGAGTCACACTGGGGTCGTTAGGCTTGATGACAAATGGTTTCACTAGCTGAGTCACTTCACCAGCCCAGTACTCGAGTTTTTAACGCCTCAAAACAAAGCCTTACCTAGGGAGGCAGGGAGGGAATTGTGCGCAAGCTCACAGCCCTGGAGCTGGGTTTCCCCGCCCCTTGCCCGCCGAGCCGGAAGTCTAGGCCTATGAGCCAACCGGAACTGAGTTGCGACACTGTAGGTTTCCGTCCGGGAAACGTAACCAAACGGCCGGTGGACCAGCAACATGGCGTGGTCCGGTAATAAGGTACTGACTGCTGGCCTTTGTGCGTTACTCAAGCCTGGGATTTGCAGCGGGTTGTTCGGTAGCAGGAATTGTGGGCTCGCAGCTGTGCCAATCTGAAGGCTGAAGGATGGATGCCCCAAAGCGAAAAGCTTGGGTTCCGGAGTTCTGCTTTTGAGCGAGCCTTATTCACCTTCACGCCTCTGTTATTCTCCCTCTTGCTTCACCTGCTCTTCATCCTCCCTCCGTCCCTAGTTGCCTCCCTTCTACTTTTCTATCCACATCACCTGCTAACGGAGGCGTCCCTTACCGCTTCTGAACCTGGGTTCTTAAAATCTATGTAAGAATTTATATGTTATCTAGGATTATCTCCTACGTGACAGGCTTGTAAAACTTGAGGTAGGGATTCTGTGAATAACTCAAAAATATAGTGTATTATTACTTTCCTAATAATTTAGTTTCTCCATTTTTTGAAAGCTTACAGTGTGAAGCACAGAACTAAGCCTTTTATTCCTATTTCATTAAATGTTCACACCAACTCCTGAGATGAACACTATTGTCCTTAGCTTTGTAAGTAAGAGAACCAAGGTACGAAGAACTCAAGTGTTCAGAACGTGGTCATGGTTTCCATAGGTGGTAAAATACAGATGTGAACTCAAGCCATTTTCAGAGCCCTGAAAAAAGATATTTGCCACATTGCTAAGAATCTGTGACCCCTGGCTTCTTTGATTGATAAAGGAAATTACAGTGAGCTTTAAAGTGATATTCTGATCAACAGAGAGAAGTGTAATTGCTATTCATTCATTCACTTGCCCATTCCCTTAATATAGGCAAACAAGATAGGGGTTTGAATAACTGGTCTCTGTTTTCCTCTACCCCTATTTGGGAAATTTTTATTAAATTATGAACTCATTATGATGTTGCTCTCCTCCTTTGCTCTTTCAGTTACTGAAAACGTTGTAACTCCTGTGAGGGGCTTATTTGTGGCAGATGTACCTGAAAGCTGTATTGCTTCCGTGGAGAAATGAGTCGCTATACTCTCCAAGTCTCTTATCCCCGTTTTCTTAATGCTTCCAGAAAATGAAATATCACAGACATTCTTCCAGACCAGATTTTTCATACTGTGAAACTCTTTGATGTCTTTTTCTGACTCTCTAATTCTTGACAAAAGACTTCTGGTCCTTTAGTGTTTGCTAGTTTATAAATAGGTTTTGTGGACATATAATAAATAAACACAGCCAGAGTATTTTGTGATTCTTTTTTAAAAAAGATTTTTATGTTGAGAGAATCCCTATGGGGTATAAATTGAATTGGTCTCTGAGGTACTCTGTAGTTTATTACTGTTCATTCCCAAATAAGTTGTCATTGCTTCTGAAATCTGTTAATATCACTGCATCATATGGTTCCATTTGGGGGGGGGGTAGGTGGGGGAGTTTCAAGACAGGATTTCTCTGTGTAACAGCCCTAGCTGTCCTGGAACTCACTCTGTAGACCAGGCTGGCCTGGAGCTCACCGAGATTCACCTGTCTCTGCCTCTCGAGTGCTGGGATTAAAGGCGTGTGTTACTATTTCCTGGCATGGTTCCATTCTTTATGAATTTAGAGAAAATAGTATTTCCTTTGTGTGTTGTAAAAAAGGTCAGATTTAGGAGTCATCTCCCTAGTACAGGAGGTCATGCAGGTTTTTAACCTGCATGCACCTCTAGAGACAGATTATCACTGACTCAGAAAAGAGTGCCTTCCTCATTGGTCACTTTTAAATCTTTCTTTCATACGTGATGCCTAGAATTGCTCATAGTTTGTCTGCTCAGCACAAAGCACAGATGAGGCTGG